TTCTGTAATAAGTTACGTTATTAATACAGAATTATCTTAATAATCTAATAATTATAATAGGTTATAGAATAATAATTGTTTTACAAAAGCGGAATTAGTAATCATTTTCTAATACTGTAAACCAAATATTAAACTGCATAAATAATTGATTTCGTTGGTCCGATAGTATGACAGCTAGAGAAAGATATCGATCATTAGAGGCCATAGATGCGAGTTATAATTTAAGTACCAATGAAAAGAAACGATGAACTCTTCGTGCCATTTCTACACCCGCTAATTACGCAAACTACTGGTTAGATTATCATTAATCAAAAATTGATTCTACATGTAATATGTTATGATTTTAAAAAATCTCCTCTTTGATGGTTGCTATAACATTCTTGATCAATGTTTTTAATCAAGTTAAGGCTTTTGACATCAATTTCATTAATTCCAATTCTTTCAATAGAGATACAATATCATAGAAATTAATCACTTTTTTGATATACTGTAAAGCATAAATACTTGAACCTGACAATAAGTAATAATTTCAATATCATTCAGTATTTCTGAGAATTTCTAGCGCTAGAGTTTATACTATGATAGGACTTAACTAAACACAAAATGAATGTTGGTAGCCCAACGTAGATAACAGCCAAAGTCGAAAGTACGGTAATTATGCGCGTATTCACGGATTGTGGATTGCTGCTAGAATAAGATCATTCCAAATTGAGATTGAAAGTTGAGGTAAGCGGGTCTGTACTAGATAGAATAAGCTGAAGTCAAATTATAGAAACAACTTTTTTTTCATATAGAATGTAAAAGGTAGATTATAACATTGTTTAACAATTTTTTGATTAAATTTCTCATAATTAATGAAACTTATCAGAAATTGAAGGTATGAAGAAAGAAAAGATTTACTCTTAATAATAAGTAGTAAAAATGAATTTTTATTGATTGATTTATAACGATTAGGAAGAGTTAAATCCTAATTTTAGATAGTGCCCTTTTCGATTTGAATTGAATCTAGATGCTTCTTTTTTGTATCGAAAAGATATGCTAAATTCCGCATTGATAATAAGAATTTAAATAAATATCATTAAATGTATGATATATCTATAATGATTTAATCTGATTTAAAGCAAACTGAAAGAACAATCAATTATCAAGTTGAAAACGAAAAGATTCCAACTTAGTTGTTTCGATCATTTAGATAGATGCTGAGTTCTTGCGATTACTATGTTTGATGGAGGGTTCGATATCTCAGAGGATTGAGATTTAGTCGCCATTTACAATTATTACAACAAAGGGTTTATGAAAGTTATGCTTTATTGTAGGTTAGTAATTTGAAGTACAGTGAGGTAGCTACGGTAGATCAGCGTGCAAGCTGTCGTGAGTAACGAGTAGAAGTATTAGACTGTGAGAGACTAAATAGAAGACTAACAGAGAGGCTAATGAACTCTGAGGTAGAAATCGCCGGTATTTATAGTTTTAAAGATAGAGCACGTGCAAAGAATAACCGTGCGCCAGCAAAACACTGGAAAGATATATAAAGGGTCACGGCCCAAATACATAGAGAGTTTTTTACAGTTGATCTAGTTAGTGATCTGAGCTGATAAATAATAAAGTAACTCTAAACGCTATCAAATAGTCTCTCACTGTGATTAAGAAAGTTAGTCTTAGTCTGTACTATTCATCAAGAGTTAGTTTGAAGAATAGTCAGTGACAGTAAGTAGGTTAGTAGTTGCTAGCCTTGATAGTACAAGTGTCGCAGAGGAGATTTGTGACAAACATATACCATAACAGGTTACAAAATAGCAGATGATTGTAGAAAACAGCGAGTACTGTAATAACTAAATATAGTAGTCTATATATGAATGTAGAGTAAGCGGACTGTAGATCTGTCTAAATATAAGAGCAATACAACATGTCTATATTTAAGAGTAGAATATAGTTACAGTATATTCTAAATACACTACACTATGAAAGGATGATGAAATAATTGTTGGTATACTTACTTGAGACGAAACTTGATTACAACTTTAATGGAGCCTTTAACAATAATTTCTACTGAAAATACGCATATAATTAATAAAACCAAATAATTAGGTAAATCGTTTACCGACGAATCTTATCAATCAGTATTTTTACTATGGTTTTAATAGAAATATATAGAAAATTATGCTCCGTTAATTGTAAGAATAGTTACTTTATCTTGATGATCTACTTGTTTTGGAGAAGCTTAAAATCAATGATATGAAACTTTTATCAAATAACTGATTGTAAAACTTGTAGAATAAAAGAAAAAGCATTGTTTAATAAAATAGAAACGTCGGACAATTAAAATGATGAATTTCTAGTCTATTATAATTGCAAATAACAAATCACTCATGCTGAAATTGAATATAATTTAAATATAAATAAAGAGAGAGCATTGAATGAAAAAATATCGTCAATGCTAAAGAATGGACAAAACCTTTACAATAGAAACTTAGGCTTTATGTATCTATAGCAATATGTTTCAAACTCTCGTGTATTAGGGTTGTAGATTGCAACTTTATGCTATTATTTTATCACTTATATAAAATAATAGAAAAGTTGGGCTGTATACTTAACATTTACCTTTAAATAAGACAAGATCCGTCTTCATTACGGTCAATAATTCTAATAATTATGCAAACGGACATGTGTAATATGCACAGCTGAAGTTGAATCATAAATTGCATGTTGCAGATTTTTATTAATTTTATTTTATAACATTTAAAATATCTGTAGCGAGATGTACTTATGTCTTCAACGCTATTTGCTTATGGAATTAAGTGAGAACAATCACTAACGGTAGCTTCACGCTCAGTATTTCGACGAAGTTATACCATGATTTCGAATAACATGATGTCTAGTTATGAGTTAGTCTTTCGATAATTAAGATATTGCTGCACTCGCATCTTACTTTGCATTCTTTTTATTTGTCTGCAATATGATTTGCTATAACATCAAGTATCGGTAAGTTAATGGAATGGTTGCTTAAAGGTTTAGGCATTAAGAATGCCGAAAACTATTCGGGAATTGCAGTAGCATACGCAGACAATCGTCAAAGCTAGAAATTGCTCGTGTTGCAAATTCTTTTTTAGATTTTGATATATTGTATTAATTTTCAGATGCAATTCTAAATGTGCATCGTTTCTGGTAAGCTATCAAGAATCAAAACTCGCAACATTATCATAGCTCACATAATATTCAATTACTTTCATGCACTAATTTATAATTTGTATTAGCATATTGGTAATATACGTGACTAAGAAAACAAAGATAAGAAAGTCAAGGATTGGCTCTGCAGCAGCTTTTACCTTATATTTTGGTCACACATGTTCTTAGCTAATATCAAGACATACTTAGATTTTTATCAGCTTTGTTTCTGTAGATATTTCAATTTGATATCAAAATGTGTCTCATTGTAACCAATTTTAATTCATTAGCTTATGCAATTGTTCACAATACTAGATGTTTGATATTTGTTCCATGGTTATTAAATATGTACAGACATTTAAGATTAAAGAAGAAAATGTCTTTATAAAATACGTTCAGAATGCAAGACACATTTCGACTCTCATCATCGTCGCTTGATGAATTATTAGAGGAATAACTTTTAGAAATACCTTAATTCTAATATTTTCAATATCGTATTTTAGGTCACTATGTCATTGGATATCCGATAAATATATCATGAATAACGAAGAATGCCAATCCTTTATAAATCGCCACATATCAATCTGCATTGTTTTAATTTATTCTGGGCTATTATATGTAATTATTTTCTAATTCGATGTAATTTTATTTCTAAGGTATGCTAGTAGTTTCTAAGAAAAAGAAAGATAGTGTTTAGTCTGTTACGTGCATTGTCTGGATTTTTAAAGCCAGTTGAATTATTCTAATGCTATGCAAAAAAATCGACTCGTTTCAATTTTCCTGATTCATTGCTAGAAAAATACTTTTTCTGTTAATACAAAGGAAAATGCTTTGAGACCGACTAAGTGATCTTGATCATCGTGCGAATATTTAAATAAAAAGTCAGACGCCATGATACTAGTCTCAATCAATACTACACGGTTCTTGAAAGAAATTTATTATATTATGTGCAATATCATTTTAATGGCCAGTATTGCGATTAGTACTTATATTTAGGCGGCAATATAATTACGTATCTATATTTCATCAGTAACTACAAGTCATAATTCCTTTATTTTCACAGTACTATGAAGCAGCTATAATCGTATTAGTAGAATATAAAGCCATGCTCTTACTTCAGTTAAGTAGAGTCTACAACACGGTACTTTACATTTTGCAAACTCAATAAAGTATCTAGTCCATGCAGTAAAATCTGGCCTACATAGGATGGTATTATTGACTGTATCTCGATAGTATTATTATAGAGATTCATGAAAGTGTTCACATACCCTATCGGTACCTAATATGCGAATTTACAATAGCACTAATTCATTTTACCTCCTTTATACATAGAAAATTATATCTAAACGTACGCGTATGCTTTATATTACGTCACCATATTTAATAGGAATGTTCATGAATGATGCTGACTCTGCACTAGCTATAAGAACTGGCAATATGACGTAGGCTAAAGTTTGTCGATGTCCTAATCAAAAGGGAATTTTAGCCTTGTTTATCCCAAAATAGCAGAGTATACCAGTTGTTGTAGAATGATGAACGTATGGCTTTGTTGATCTAGCGCTCTGCCAAATAGAAAATTCTAAAAAATTATGCTAGCTTCATTTAGTAAAAGTAATAAGACTTGTGGCTATAGTTCAAGTAGAAATATTCCCTCTCTGTTGTCGATGAATAAAGTCATTTTGGCCATTTTCAAATTTTCCGCCTGCCATAGAGAGATAGCGTACATAAATATTATTATCAATTGCGATCGAAAAGACTTGTTAACCCAAAGTTTATTTTAAATTTCAACTTTCAACCAATGCTTTGATTTAACATAAGATTTAAATAGCTCCAATATGGCGAGATGTTCAATTTCCTTCTTCTATCTCGTTTTGGTGATATTATTTTATTCAAGCAACTACCAATGGCAAAGTATTGAAGCCCAAAGTAATAGCAATTCTGCTGCAGCTTTCCCTTGGTGGTGGTGGTCATTATATGTAACTTTCAATAATAATCCTTGTCGATCTAATGCAGCTCGTCGATCTTGTGATACCTGTATTAAAAGAAACCCAACATGTTATTGGTGTGCCTATGATAATACATGTCGTACTTTACCTAGAGGAAGATCTATTCCATACCCTGGTGATTGTGCTAATGATTCATGGCATCGTACCCAATGTATTATTTCCGGCAATCTCTTGTTGATTATTTTGCCTTGTGCCATAGCTGCAGTTGTAATCTTTGTGGCTTGCATTTTATATTGTTGCTGTTGCCGCTACTATAAGAAAGACAAAGTACAAAAACATGTTCGTGAGCATCAGAAAGAACAGGATCAACATGTACAAGAATTAATGGAAGAACAGGTAGGACGCGAGCAATTGCGTGAAGACGTTCGCCGAAAGTATGGCATAACTAAGATTAGCATTAATCAGAACCGATCAAATTTTTCCCGAAATAATGGCAATAGATGGGTGCCAGGCCGTGCAAACCTAGAGCGATCGCATCATATGAAAACGAAATTAGCAAATTACTCGCGACTTAAAAATTTGGATGACAAAGATCAGAGTATGGTTTAGATATTCATTTATGTTATAACCTACATGTAACTATAAGATTTACTGTAGTTGATGTAGAATGGAGAGTAGCATGATTTTCTGAAGTTATTAATAGTTCATCAGCAAAGGTTGATATTTTATTATAGCTGTATTTAGAGTATATAGAAATATCATGCTTGCCTGTATTTAGCAGTCGATATTTCTTTTTACAGTAATAGATATTACTTTGGCAATGTCTTGATATCGGAATATAACATGTCCAGCTTTGAACGGTTACAATATAGTTGAACATAATCCGTAGCTTACTCTAATATTCAATTTAAAGATAATGTAAAATAGATTCAATTTTATTGATCAAGCTTACTTATTAATTGATATTTATTAAAAATATTTATTTTATAAATAGTCATACAGCAAATCATTGATTGCAAGACAGGATTGTTTAAATAGCATTAAGTTACCCTAAATCTAACTCATCAATCGAAGTTTAAATTCAAAACTTGACAAACATGATCATCCGAATTACCATAATTTTTTGTTGTAATTAATATCTTTCTTCGTATATTGTTATAATAGTATCATAGTAATTCAGATATCACGATATAGTTAAAAATGTTTAATAATATGATATGGGTATATATGATATAAAGCTACCATACTTTATAATGTCAAGGGAAAGCTGTCTACATACACAAATCATTAGGAAGAATAAATTTCTCTCCGCATATTGGGTGGAAAGTCATTCACTAACTTTTAATTAGGTTATTAATTTTAGTAGTTAAAAAGCTGCTATTTATTAGTATCCTTAAGGCGAGCTTATAGGAATAAATATTCTAATTTTTCATCTAGATCCAAAAGCAACTGCCTGATTTTAAGCGTAATTGCATGTAGAATTGAGAAGATTTTCAACTTTACTATCGTCAATTTTAGGCGTAAATATAATTATGTTAGCTCTGAAAGATTTTAACCATCTTATGTAATTATTCACTCACATTATACTATCATAAATTAATCCCTGCTAATGTTTTATTCCTTATCGTCCTCAAATTCATTTAGATATTTCATTTAATGTCAAATTGTGAATGATAGCTATGATTTCAGTAATTTAAATTTTACTCAAACAAGTAGATCTACTTTGAGTAGGATATTGACAAAAGTTTTTGTCCGTAAGATTAAATTTATATCACATCAGATTAATTGTGGATGGATTGTTAATAGAATCGACTTATTAATTACCTTTCCCTTATGGATAGCGAAAGTGGTCTTCTCCTACGTATGGAATCATCAGTTGGTGTTTAGACACGGGTATCCTAATGCTAGAATATTTTGAGGAGTAGCAGGCTAATTAATGTAGTAGTTTATTATTTAGCGGGCTGCATAGCTACTGTTAAAGATAGTGCATACCGTGCTATACCATAATAATAAAATTCCATAAGAACAGGCTGTGATTCAAGAAATATTAAGGTATTATCTTGTAATTTGATAGTAATTCTTATGTCATGCTTATAATAACTACTTTTCATGACTGAAATGGTTGCAATTCATAAATCGTAATTTACTGTTCGCCATACTAATTAAAAGCAGTTTATCCCTGAAAATAGTAATTGTATTGCCTCTTTCACTTGCATACGCGCATAAAAGATTTTCTTTTCTTTCAATCTATCAATAAATGACCTTATAATTAATTCGCTGCAGTTCAAGGCAGTAGCATAATCAATTAATCCTAGGATTTTCTCCTAGCTTTAAACGTTAATATTAGCAAATGCACCATTACTCTTATATTGGACGTTATTCTAGATTCCAGAAACGTTTTATGCATACATAAGTCTTAGCTAATCTGCTTATGCAGCCCCGAATACGCTTAAGACTTAGATTATAGCTGTAAGATGAACCTAATCTTATGTAATAAAGTGAAGTTTGCGAGAAATTGTAATTCTCGTTGTAATTTGAGAAGGCACTTTATCACACGGCTATGTCGTAATTCGAAAAAAAAAATTATCAGAAGCTGATCCGCCACATGCATATCCACGACTAATAATCCGTTACTAGGGTTAATATGATTTTATTGCGCATTCTCTTCTAATCCTATACTGAAGTTGCTATAATATCGTACTGTTCTATCATTATTGCATTAAATTGACGGATAAAAGTAGCTCAGTAACAATTTCAGTAGCTAGTACTATTTTCAGGTGTAAAAATAACTCTTTTAATACTAAACTGCAAAATATCAATGCAACACATTTAGTAGCTAGCACTTTGATAAATTACCATGTGTTACTATAGGTTATTTTCATATGACGCTTGAGATGTGGTATATAATTACGACATTTATGATCCTCTTAACTGGAACCTTCGTAAATAACAGTTGTTGATGTATAAGCAATTTATAATTTAGGAATAAATTGATGATAATAGCACTTGCAAACTAGTTGAACCGAAATTCATTATTCGCCTGGGTGATGTTAGCAGCTGAAAGTACAACTTCCGAGTCTAGGTGAAATATATTAACTCGATAACATTCTATGAGCTTGTTAAACAATATTCGAAGTTGAATAATTTGTTAAGGGCGAAATATTTCGTGTTGGCTAGACTCTAAGTTCTTAAAATTATATAAGATGTGATGTCGCCCTTAACAATATAGATATTGATTTTATAATGAGATAGGAGGCCTTACTATGCTTTCTTCTAGTTTAGTTTAATATTTAAATCATAGCTGATTCGTATTCCAATTTTTAATAACATAGACTTTAGAGAATACTTACTAAAGCGAGGGCTATTCCTAGTTCATAGCAATAAGAATTTTATTTCGTACTTTAAAATTGGTCTAGACTTCTTTCATGGTAGATCGCTAACATATTTGTATTAAGATTTCTACAATCTCTTTAATAGCCTTACTGTATTAATGTGAGCCAACAAGGTAGTCGATAGGCAATTTTATATTGCAATGTCAGATATTAAAAGCTTGTTTCAAAATTTTATTTCTCTCGGTAATTAAGAGTGAGTCTGCTTCATTTTCAATTATTACAAGAGTTTGTATTGGTAACGACAGCAAATGTACTTGTCATATTGTAGACTCTCCAACCAGCCTTTGAACAATAATAACGCGCACTATTTAACTTAATCATTTATTACGGGCCATTACCTCCATTTTAAATTCAGTATGTTTCTCAGAGAATAGTACTTGATTCTTTTTCGATAAAAACGTAATAGCGGTACAAACTGCTGTAAATGCAAAGAACAGCTTGAGCTACTTGAGTATTTTATTAATTTTACAGAACTAGGTATGGTAATAAAATCAAATGTGTTTTTACATAATCTAATTTTCTTCGGATGTAAAAGATAGCTATCTAAACAATAGTTACAACTTGAACTCAATACATTATTATCATTAACTGTCTTGAAGTCGAAATTTGAATTTCAGTACAGAAAAAGGTGTGATTTTGCTTTCCAGCTTATAAATCATACGACATAATGTAAAACTACACTGGTGATACTGAGATCAAGAAAATAATAATTGTCAATTTGATACTGAAACATAAATTATTGTTGTGATTGCAAGAAAAAATCCTTTACTTGCAGTCCATTTTTAAAATAAAGCATTTTTGTTAACCAAAATAGAATAGATTGCTCAATACGGAAGGATCCGTCGAAGACATTCATTTTTATCCCTTAAATGTTCGTCATTTACGTTTTTGCGACTTTCTTAAAACGTAATCTTGAAATTGTTATTGGATTCGATGTTACAGATACATTCCATTAATAAGATAATCAGCATCTTTAGGGCTCGGTACTCGTAGTCGAGTATGTATCCTTCGCAATCGTAGCAAGACAGCAATTAGTAGAATGATCACTACACCAAGAGCAACTCCAAGAGCAATAATTAAATTTGTAAATTCTGATCTCTCCTTAGTAGATAATCCACGATTAGGATGATCTTCGTGTAATACCAATGTAAATCCATCACCATTTTGGTTATCACTTTTAGTGTTTGAAACAGAGATATTTTTATCACCATGGTGAGATACTTGCGAGATGTAAGTTTTTGTAGTATGGCTTGTTGCAATTGGTGGGGTATACGAAGATTTTGGTTGATGAGTCTATATTTACAGAAGACAGGCATGAGAAAAATGCTTTGGTAAAAGATAGGAATACAAGAATGTGATTAATTAAATATTTTTATTCTGCTAATCTAAATACCTTTATTGAGTCAGTCTGAGAGTGTCCAACGTGATTAGTTTGGTGATTTGCTTGTTTCCTGGTGGGGCTAAAGCCGGTCGAAATAGTTGTAGATTGATAATATTGATACTTAATGTGATTAACATTGTGGCTGGGTGGTTTATGGACTTGCTTGTGGTTTTGATTTGTGAAACTTCCATGGTGGCTAATACCTTCAGCAGGACGACGGGTTGGTTTTTTATGCCATTGATGTCGCGTTGGAGATCCAAAATGAGTGTTAGGGTATTTATGACTAGGCCATTTATGACTGTGTGTGCTAATGTCAGGACGTTTTGTAACTTTATGATTTCTGGTGGGTTTTATGGTACTGATTTGATGACCATCAGTAGGGCGCTTATGACCTTTGAAAACGATTGATTTATCAGTTGGTGAGGAAAAGTGGTTGCTACTTTCTCCAGAGGGCTTATGATGATTGAAGAAAGGGCGCCGTGGGGTTGGCTTTCTATGGAAATGCTCTTTATGCCAGACGTGATTCGGGCGCTTAACATTTTCGACATCTGTTGGGGGTAATTTATGGATGTTAATACTTTCGTGCAGTTTTTTGTGATTTGGGTGCTGGCTTTTATTATCAACGTTAGGCCTACTAAGCTCTTGCTCCTGATCGGTACTTTGCTGATGTGGTACGTATTTCGGTCCATCTTGATTTAAGTCATCATCCTCAGTGCTTGGATGACTTTCAGAATTATCCCAATCTTGGAGTAAACCTTGATCTGTTTGTTGGCTATTTCCAGAAGGTGGTCCATGAAAAGGGTCAAGATTACTACCGTCTTTACTTTCATCAAGAAATTTACCAGATTCAAAGGGCCAATGCCATTTAGGATTATTAGGTTTAGCATGTTCATCTGGTTTCGTAGGTAAAGAACTTTCAAAGTTTCCATTTCCATGAATTACACCTTTGTTTTCATTCAGGTGATAGTTAAGCCCGTTGAAATGTTTAGATGATTCAGAATTAGTTGATGGTCTATGCTTATGTGTACTAGGCCCAGTGTTCGAATTTAATTGCAACGAAGGCTTTTTCAGTTTAGTGAGACCTTTACTACCTACACCAACCTTAGATTCGTCAATTTTGTCACGTACTGTAGGTGTTACTTTTACTTTATGATTAAAACTTGCTTCTTCATGAGGCCGGAAATGGTTTGGTTTCTGTTGATTAGTGGTTGTTGATTGTTGTATCGCTAAATATTTAGTATAGTACGTAAATATACAAATTTAAATGGATTTTTTTTGTGCGAAAGCTAACATGATTGACCGTACGGCAATAACTAGAATTTTAAATATCATATGAGTTAGATTTGAAATAATCAGTTTGGAATACTGTAGGTTTAAAGTTTACGACAGTTGATTGATTATTAGTTACCTTTACTGTTAGAAGGCTTTTCCTTATGTTGCAAGTTATTATGGTGAAGATTATTGTTTTTGGCCAAAGAATGAACAGTATTCTTATCTACTGATGGTTGTTGTTTAGTGATGGCATATATATCTATTCCATATGCTCTCTTTAATACACACTTTTTATGTGGGCAGTTGTAAGTTACACAATTTGTGCTAAAATCTTCTGTTTCCGGTTTGTAAACGATAATATTACAGTTTAAATCGTTGCAACATCTTTGCTGGCACTCGTTTAGATTCAGAACACGACCACGAAATTTTCTAGTGGCACCATTTCTTATCGATTTTCTAGAGTCTATTATATAGTCATTGTATTTTCGTGGTTCTGGGCACGACGTACTCTGACAAAAAAATACTAGGATGGCGAATATTAAAAATCTGAGCAGAACTTGGATTTGTGCCTTATTCGTCATGCTTCTTTAACTTATAGGAATAATCTGGAAAGAAAACAAATTAAATCTTCGTATTCATTTTAAATTCCAACTCGAAAGTTTACTGTTATAGATCTGCACAATATTATTTTCTAATGCAATTGTAAATATTTATTAAACATTATTTGCAATTGATCTACTATAAAGTAATGTCTAGTATCGTTCAATAATATAGAACATGATACATTTGATAGCACGTCACGAAGGCTATAACTGGACGTAAATCATACTACATCAGTATACTGTCTGTCGACCATGTAGTGATTTAGACTATACGCGTATAGATTAAGAGCCAAAATTTTAGGAGCCGATGATTTGTGCATCGATCTCTAGTCTGAGCTATAGCACATTTACTACTGAAATTTAAATAAGCTGTTGTATCTTATTGGAGTCATGCGCTACTAAATTTATTTTATTTGATTGAAATACAATAGCAACAGCTGGATATACTTTACTCAGCCCATATGGTATGAGGAACTCGTAGGAATGTAATTATACTGTTATAAAAGGCAATCAGTTCATTAATTACTATACTCTATTTTATTGGTAATAGTGTTATACTATCGTATTACGAGACTGTAGGAATATTATATAATAATTTCAATGATAATCTTGATTGTAGCCAGATATCTCTGTCTATCGGTTCTTATTATTATCGAGCTAATTTGTGCCATAGTATCAGTTAGGATAACATGTTAATTTAATTTATTATTTATTATGGTAATAGTATCATATCTATTCTGTATATTACGTCGATGTTCAATATAAAATTACTACCACTTTCTTAATTAATGAGTGGAAAAGCGTTTAACAACTATTGGCAAGAGTAATAAGAATTTTTACTTCTACAGGCCAATTAAATAATGGCAATAAATGACTACATTCTCATTTTAGTGATCAATAGCAGGATAAGTATTGTACTGTATCAGAATAGAACTGATTTAAGAAAAGACTGGATTTACTAAGATTGGTATGATAGTGTAGATTAAAATTATTAAATAACACAAATGGATCACGTTAACATACTTGTGTTTATACGGCGATAAAGCAAAATATTGCTTAGCCTGACAAGGATACGCGTATTACGGATATAGCATTTACATGGCAATTAAAATTTAAGAAAATGAGCAAGCGCTGGCAAAAAAGAGCTAGAAGTAGTAATTGACTGCTATTCCAATCATTAATCTGTGGTTACATTTACGTATCTCATGCAAAGTAATTATTTTTTTTTTCAACATTTATTGGATCATCGAATTTTTAAAATGATTCCATATTGTAATACTGTACAAATCATCAAAGTGTAGAATCGTCTGAAATGATTGATCATGGTCGTCATTGTAAAGCCGTCATACTGTTTTAGTTTTTATCCTATCCGTAGCCCTATTGCTGCAATTAAATATTAAGCAAAGCAGGATATGGGTGGGAATATGGCAGTTATACAGTACAATGGAGTACATTCAAGGTTACTATCACTACAAACTAAATTTGAAAGTCCGCAAAATTCTATATTTATTAAATTTAAATAACTGCTTAACAAGTGGATAGAGAACGATTATTAAACCTCTAACATTATTATTATAGTACTGTAAACGGACTCGTGTCGAAATACGAAATTTTTCTTGACTAGTAAAGCCTCGATTTGAAAACAAAATGTTGTCTTTGTGTGTACTGTCGCAGGGTGGCGTCTTTTGCCATCACTATCAATTATAAGATTTTATACGAAATTAAAATATACCGTAATATTAGATAGAAAGTAGAGATACGTGTATCACTGATAGCTTGGCTAGCTTGTAATAAATTTATACAAATAAGTACTTGCCATACATTATAGACTGATTGATTACAACATTACAACATAATATCATAATTCCCCATTACCGCTTTGACGATCCGCATTTTAATGATGAAAGTTGAACTACTCAACTGCTATAATACAGTCCATAACAACATCAAGTTAGACGATCAAGATTGAGTGGTATTTGTTCGCTATCAATCTAAGTATGAAGGATATTTAACAAGATATACGGAAATAGACGACGATCCTGGCGATAAAATTAATCTAGTGGTAAGATATTGTACTTTGTAGCGATTAACTCAATCCGTATGTGTTAAGAGTTGTAGCATAAAAGTGCATTATTCAAGAAAATTAGCCATTAAATGACTATACGTGAGTCAACTACAATTTCAACATGGTCAGATGTTACATACCAGCATTAGAAAATTCAGTTTTTAGCAGTTTATTAGGATCGAGACTAATCGATTTAAAATAAAATTATAGGAACTTACCTTTCAAAATTACTTCAGTGAGAGTATAACGAAGCTACTATGTCCGACGTATTTCCGGTCAAGGCTAGACGGTGATTAGTCAAGAGATATTTTTAGAAGGTTATCCTATTAAATGTGCGCATCTCCTTTCCCTATCGGATGATACAGTAGATAGTACAATTAGTGTGCATTGATAACAACCGTTATTAACGTCTAGCTATGATATTTATTTATTATCATACCCATGGAAAGTCTAAGTTAGAAATAGATTGAATAGCAGTTGCTAGTTATCGGTTAATTCAAATATGGCTAATTTGTACCTTATTTTATTTCCCGATCCTTTTCATCCAAACTAGAGGGAGAAAAAAAAATAATCGCGTCAAGATACAATAGGCTTTAGCTGCCTTCGACGTGGGATTGATCTTGGGCCTTTATTTATTGGTGATTGCACCGTTAACTATCGCAAGCGTAATGATGCGATATCATGGCAGCCCCGGTAATATATACTCGTCTATGCAGTATATATGTTTATACAATACTGTATAGATGTCATACAGTATATATCTTGTAGGCGTAGAATATATTCTGTCAGTCAATCCATCGCTCGTTCTACTTTGCGTCCTATACTTGTACTTTTCACTTTCCATTCTTACTGCTTCTTCATGAAGCTCCACCATCTATTCTTATTATGTTATCGGGTGGGTGGTACACAAAATAAGTACAGTATAGTAATTTGATCGTGAATTGTAGAGCACTGTACTGTACTGTACGTATGATTTGGTTTACAGTACAGTACAGTAATATAAGAACAATTGATAAGCGTCGCTTATCTACCGCATAGTACAATACATAGTACAGTGTATCAGACGAGTTATCTATGTTATCTATGTTATCTAGGTTAACTGTCTAGTTATCTATGTTATCTATGTACAGTAGACCAATTCTGCTACTAGCCTGGGTGTGTGTGATTCTTCTGAATAACCTGAATAAAAATCCTGATACTTTTCAGAAGCTAAAGTCGATTCTGAATCACTGACTTTCCCATTCAGGAAAACAGTAGACTTGACTGTAGTCATTGCGTCAGTAAAATGTACAGTACATGTAAGCACAGTACTACAGTAGTTATTCGTCAAGTACAGTACAGTACAGTACAGTACTGTACTGTACGACTGATTGTAGTACGCTACTGCGCAAGTGTGCACTGTGCAGTACTAGACTAGTTTTTTCTTCTCAGGCGCTGCATAATAATAGGCTACGCCGCTGTTGCACTTTGCGGTAAAAGATAATCACTTTATCATAAAAGATTTTGACGACATCTGTTTTACACATGCTTGCATTTAACGTTATCGTCTGACAAGGCAGTTTGATGAAGCTGCTAGCAGAACACTACTACAGAGTCGTCACTAGTACTACCAACTGTCAAGAAAAGAAGAGCTTACATACTGTATCTATGAAAAGTAACTACAGTACAGTATACTGTACACTGTACAGTGTACAGTACAGTACTGTACTGTACTGTACAGTACTTGTTGTTACTTCGCTTTCCTGTGTTTCATATACATACTGTAGACTCAGTGTAGAGTTAACTCGGTGCTTTTCATGAATACAAAAATCATTCACGCTTGCGCACTCTAACGCCATTATTCATCCTTGGTTTTGTGACGAAGTCAGCGTAAACGCGGACAAATTGTGCGGACTAGCAGTGGCATGGCTGAAGTGATTGGTGTTTCAGAATTATACAAGCATTATGGCATATTAGCAGATGCTGCTGATAAAAATCAGGTACAGCACAATTTATTATGTATAAGCTGCAGTAATTTGATAAGCAAATTTCAAGGTAAATAAAATCTTACAAGGAAAGATATCCATTTTTTCATGGCAACCATTTTGTAGTAGGATGGCTGTAGCACATTGCTGTTGTAGTACAGTAGGATACGGTAGGGTAGGAGAGGATGCTTCAGCGATTGATAAATAGGTCATGGACAGTAGTAGTAACACATTATTGATGGCTTTTTTCCTTGAATAGCTCAGTAAGTGAGCGTAGTATACTACTATATCGCTTACACTTGCAAATTTTGGCTATGCTGGGCTATGTAGATGCAGTGAGAGAGTGCTATACGCGTACAATACTACATTCAAGATCGTCCAATTGGCTACTTGTCCAAACCGTTGCCATGATATCGTTGAGTAGCCTGGTTATGTATTCCTGGTTGAACCCAATGTTTAAAGTCTACTTATATTGATATTAATTACTGCAGACTTGCATAGGAATGGCAGCAAACTGTTGATAGTCATAGTACATAGTATGACTGTACATTAAGATAATGATCGAGATTGGTGAAATTGAATCATGGCTGGTGTTCTGATGTGCATCAATATACTGCGTTGAAAAATATTGACCATATCAATTCGATCGAAGTAATATTTTACATTTAAATGGAACGGTTATGTATCGTGATTGCTTACCTTACCACCCCTATAATATTTGCAACGGATATCATAGTAGATCGTTACAACGTAATGGATAGGCTTTTCTTAAACTCACGAGTACTTTCGAAACGCTTGGAAGATCAATTTTAATTTCAGTTTTGGGTTGCTCTTTGAATTAATTGATTATATTCTATCTGTAGCATGCCGAAAGTTACAAGATTATATTGCAAGCTACGCAAGGCGATTCGAAAGAGAAGCTACTTTCAGCCTCATTTATTCCTAAATTCTTCAAGCATTTCCCAGATTTAGCTGAAGAAGCCTTCGATAAGCAGATTGATTTAATTGAAGATGAAGAAAGTAATGTTAGTATCGTTTCATACTTGCAGTACAGTGAATGATACATTAGAATAGACGTGACTTCTTTGATAACTAGCATTCATATCCAATAACACCAGAGGTCATGGCTAGTACCAGCTATAAATTGAAATCTCTAAGCTCCCTAAATTGTATCTAAATATGGCATTGTTCGTCTTGGGCTAGTGATTCAATTTGCTGTATAGTATTTTATATTTGCCTAACATTTGTAGACGCTAGTGTTTGGCATTGTCAGTCTACTTTTCATTATCGGATACTAACAATAGTGTTAAACTAGTTTAGCCAATTTATCAATTGTTAGTGTTAGTTTATTTAGTAAATGGAATAAATCACTCATAAAAGCTTATGCAAGTACGCAAGTAAGTATTTAGACTAATGATAAAAATTAATATTTGTATGAAATTACTTATTACTAGGTGCGGAAGGCTGCTGTAAAGCATTTTCCTGAACTTTGTAAGGACGATAGCCAATATTGCAAGCGGGTAGCTGATATCCTGACGCAGTTTTTGGTAACAGGTTAGTTGAAGTAATTTGATCTCTTGCATACGTATACATATTAATCTTTCTTGCAAAGATTAAGATAGAATTAGTTGTCCAAGACAAAGATATTGTAACCAAATATAATAACGTGGTAAATGCGTAACTGGTTAATACGGCTTTAGCATTGTCATCTGCATGAATGTTGTATCAGTGCTAAAGCGAAATTACATGGGCAGCCATTTCATGTTCTGACTACTTTGCGAAATTTTGCTAAATGATCTGTGGATAATGCGTACGATGAACTAAACGTCACTTTATTTTTAGTCGTGTTACCTTCGTTGGATGCTTTATAATTATTAATAGGAAATACTTTAAATATATTCCTTAGCTAAACTAGTAATCATATTATCGAAACTCTAGCCGATGGATATCGGAATACTGGAGGAAGTATTAAATGGTTATTCATTTGCTCATCTTATATATTGCGAAGTAACACATAGTAGGCTGCAACAGTATGCTGCCCATTAAATTTTTTGCTCATTGTGTTTGCTTTACCTCCGTTAATAAACGAACAGAATGACGGATGAATTTTATAACTTTCGAAATAATAGATATTGATGCTGAAGTGACATTGTGCAGAAGAAGTATGATTACTTTATTGGTTGCTGATCCTACTGGTAATATATTTAAAAAGCTATATTAATCTCAATAAGAAAGCTTGCTAAACTTGCTGTCCTGCTAAGCTTTATCATGCAAAGTAGTATACTAGAATCTATTGTGGTATTCGATCTGACCAGAGTTTTATTACAACGTGATATACAGGAGTTTTAGAGGTTATCTTCTCTCATATCAAAAGTAATGCTCAAATACAAGGCAAAGGCTTGAATTGTATGCGTCGATGTGCTATAGCATGCCTCAAAGTAGCTGTAAATGAGCTGAAAGGGACTTTATTTAACTCAAACGAAGACAATGAACGGTTTCTAGCGGAGCAGATTAAAAACGTACTAAATCTAAATTTATAATTTACTTCGTTTCTATTATATAATATCAATATTGATATCATCACCAAAAATTGGTACCTATCTATTGCGACTTAAAGGTATGGTATTATATAACAAATAATTATTGTAGGCTTTAGGTAACGATGTCACAGAGGAAGAGTTTGCTGATCTGATGAAAATTTTAAAGTCATTGAAATATACCACGAAGAATCCGCAAGTGGCTGTAGACGCAATCATGCAACAAATTGAAGTCAAGGAACAATTCAAGGCAAGTAACTACAAATATACTTAGTAATTAAGCCCAGATTAATTTAAAATTCGGATTATCTTTCCGTTATGATGATATACTCTCGGCTAATTAGCAGTCAACCTTTTGCGGATGTTCTGCTTTCGGTCCGTTCTGCTATGATTAAACAACAGTCTCGTCCTTATCCTGAATAAAACTTACATTGAGATATTTCATTGTGCGTCTCCGCTGAATATAGTTATATCTAACTTATTTTATTTTTAATGTATGACTTGTACAGCCTAAAGATAGCAATAGTGTTGGTCGCATCTTGTCTTGCCTGAAATCTACCATTCCGTTTATACAGGTTGCTTACATTGTTAACAAGTTTCCTAGTGTAAGATAATAAAGACACGTACTAACAATTTGCTCTTTCATATGTTACAGAAAGCAGGCTCGTCGTCAGCTCAACTGATGACGTACGTTACGAGAAATGTTTTACCAGTATTAAATTCAATTGATGGTGAAGGAGAACGACTTTCGATACTAAAGTGTTACGCTGAAATTAGCAATGGCTGTCACGATACTACAGTAGCAGAGGCTTGTGCACCTTTGCTGTATCCGATCTTGATCGTAAGTTTTACGTAGTAATTTAGTTCTTTACAGGTATAAATAAATGTATATATAACTTTCTTAATAAGAATACTTTTCCCTTACAGCAATATCTTCCTGAACCACCAGATAATAGTCAAGAGGCGAAAGAGGAGTCCAATGATACTGAGCCTAATTATCAGTTTTCTTATGTAGAATGCTTATTGTATACTTTTCATCGGTTGTGCAGTGAGGTAAAGTAACTACGGCATAGTATTTTAAGAGGCCATCATTTTCAGTTGTACGCGTTAATTAATTGTAGTATTAGGCACCTAATTAACTTTCTATGAACTTTGAAGAAATTGTTCAAAGCAGTTTAAAATTTAAATTTATTTTAGTCTCAAACATTTATCAGCGAAGATGGCGATAAGTTCAAAGATTTCAAGAAGAGGTAAGCCATTCATCACAAATAGCAAGTGTGTTTGGATTTATAATTTTGGTACCATTTGGTAATTTCATGTCTGTATTTTGTTTAAGACTACAGTATTTTACGTTGTGTTGTCAAAATTATACAAAGCGATTGAGATCCTTTCTACAAGAAAGGACTGCCGCGGCATTGAAGTTGGAAAAGGTTAATATAATCACATAAATGAATTTTATGTAGCCAGTTTAATAAAAATTTAAGACCCGACACGTGAGATAAATGGATACTTTTTCTCTGTTTCACATTTTAATAGCTTTGTCACATAGTATCTTCAATCTGTACTTTTTTTATAGAATCAGATTAAGCTCCAAGCCATCAAGACCATGACTAATATTACAAATTTAGTGAAGGTATCTTGTTGTTGCTTTGTTAAAATGAATGATGAGTTAAACAGCAGCAATTGGAGATACTGACTTTACACTGTTTTTATAAAATCTACCAGGATTTTTTCCGAAATCCTCTTTCGTTTAAGACGCAAGTAACGCTATCCTGGCAATCCACAGTAAGTAATAATCAAGAATATGTGTCTTTGCTTCGTTTAATTGATATAAGAATTATGGTTATTAGAAGATAACCGAATACGCTTATCATTATAGTTATTATACGGTATTTAAATGCATTTAGTGATGATAATTACATGTGTGGTACTCGTTTAATAACTACTTTCCTTTGGAAATAGGCTGACAGTGCGTCTACGGCGCTACCGAACGAAAGCAAAGGGCAACGGTGGGTACTAATATACGTATGTGTGTTGTTTCTACAGCTAAAATAATTAATAGAGGCCATTCTTTACATTTAAGGAAAAGAATTACGTTCGATGCAGCACCTGTTCCTGCTAAGAAAGCTAACACTACTGCAAAGCAAGGCGGAAATAAACCGAACCGTCAACCTTATCGACCTCCTTATAGGCGATCTAATTGGTCTTAATCCTGCTAATGTTTATATATACATATATATATATATACATGCTGTACCTTAGCTCTTTGCAGCCGTAGAGATTAACTTCTTGGTTAGTTGAAATAACTAATTGAAGTTTAATTAATTATCAGAGTTAGTTTTTTCCTGATAGTTGTTACTTTGCTCGAAGTATATAGCTGAGCTTGAGTACAGACCGAAGGTTGGGCCAGTAGTCGTTCCAAAACTTACCACATTAGATTGATTTAATGAAGTATTCTGTTGGTAAAATGTATGCTGTCATCATGCACTCTTATTCATACCACTTTTTCTTAATTTCTTTCTGAAATAATTCGATCTCAAACCTTTGTAGCATATTTATACCAAGATATCGATTTAATAAAACCTTTGACGAAACATCGGTTTACTACAGTGTGAAATAGCTAAAGTCCATGATTCGCACTCTTGCAGTACGTTAACAAGATTGAAACCATGATACTTAATAATTTCAGCGATCAAACATATATAAACAAAAATTTACAATAAAACCTGTTTTATTGAAACACCGTTTTGAAGTGCAGTCAGTATTATTTAGTCCACGCCAGTCAATTACGATAGCTATCCTTTAATGTATCGTACGCGTGAATCATTGGCTTTAAAAGATCGGAGTTATCATTTTAAAGATAAGTTGCTGGGCTGGGGGTTTCTCTCAAATCGCGGCAATTTAACATTGTATTTCAAATAATTTTCCGACGTAAATCCTAAAATTATACACCTAGATGGTAATGTGTACAAAAATGTTTATGTCTACTTAGACATAAGCAAATTAATAGCATGCTGTATGAATGAGATTTTCTGATAATATAATTACATGTTACAGTAACTTGGTGCTGCTGTACTCAGCACACAGTCATCTCTATGACTCTTTACTCAGTCGACAGGACAGAGAATTCGTTATACCAGATATTATCAGATTGCAATATTTGTATGTATACGAGTATAAAAATCTGTTGTTGCCTAATAATTCCAAGCTTGGAGGTTGCTTATGGATTTTAAATTTTCAGAAAATGATGTGCTAATTGCAGAATTCAATGTTCAGACTGAAAAATAAGAGTACAGTACAAGAAAAAGGTGTTTAAGAATTTTCATTCTATCGATAATATTATCATCTATTGGGCATATCTAGTTGCAAAATAATTATGGGTAGTAGTGGCAACCTGCATTCACCAAGTCAGATCAAATACGTGTATTTTATATTATATTTATTTATACGAGTGTAACATAGTGTTACTGTGCACATCCGTATCTCATTTTTTGAAGCTCTTTCAGTCTCCAGTTTCATTTTACTTTACCGTCATGGATTGGATATTGCTTGGGAGCAAGATTGATGCGTGAAAATACTGTAAGTTGTAATTATTTCCATCGTTAATAACAGCTTCAATATGTTCAAAAGTGATTACTCGTCTTATTAATAACTCTATAATGGTACGACATTTCGGGTTACCAATTTCAGTGAGTTTTCATAAACGACGTGGGTAACAGGTAGTTTTAAATAGGCAATTACAACTTATTGCGATCAAAATTCCAGTCAAATACAATCCACTTGGCTTCAGTAATGAATTAGCAAGGCCTTATCAATTTCTGTAATCACTCAGTATCAATATTGCTTCGGATCGCATCTACTCGTATTCTATTGCGATGCAAAGACGCTGATGCAAGCAGCGCTTAATTCTTGCTAGCCTTAAAAATACAATCGTCTGCCACCACGTACACCAAATAATGTAAACTTTTATTTGATAGACTTACAGTATAACCTCCCTGGCGTTGCTACACTCTATCACAGGAATAATGGACGTTAAGTAGACATTTTGTTTTACGACTAATCGATTCTGTCTGTGGGGCCCACATTACCCTCGTTTTTTTAAATCTTCATAAAAGTTTCATCTCTTGTATAACCAACAATCTTTTTTAGATTGCTTTATTCGACAATTGTGCTACAGATTCTGTTCACCAACTCCACAGAATAATTGACGTAAGAGGAGAGTTACTCTATCTCTGTCTTCCCTTGAATTCGAATGCAGTACGTGTTTGAATCGATTGCAATGGACATTTGCTTTTCGTACCGCCTGCTGTGTTGACTGCTATCAGCCCGGTTTTTCGCTAAAATTAGACCTACGCTAAGCGACAATCATGTTGCTCCTTCTTATTCCTATTGCATCATTATACAGTAAGTGACGAGATTTCATTTTTTTGTCAGCGTGACTAGTAGTGTAATGACTCATTTCCATTAAAAGGAGTTTTAATGGTATCATGTGTCGTAGCCTGATAGGGTATAGAAGAGCATTTTTAGACATTTTTCTATCACCGTGTTTATGAGACGCCATTCTCAATTTTAAATATTCATTTATAGAACTTTCCATCACATTACGTGTATTACTATAGCTTTTGTTGGGGTGAAAAATCGCTACTCTAACATGTCTTTCTGTGGCCCCAACAGGATTGCTCATTACCATAAACTTGCTTTTAGCAGTTACACGAATGGCTATTACCCCTGTTTACCCTTTGCCACAGGCAGTTTTACCTGTTTGCCTAACTCCAATGGGCCATCTTAAAATAACAATGACGTAACAGGATCGCTCTGTGAAATTCATTAATTCATTAATTAAAAAGACCTTCAGTACAGTACAGTACAGCACCGGCAGTAATGTGTAATGTTTCTCTAGGAATTGTTCACTGTAGAGTATGTACAGTACTATACTGTATGTTGATGAATATTCAAGCTTGTACTGTACTGTATAAGGTCAAAGTACTGTACTACAGTACACTGCCTGTGTTTACTGCGCACTGTGTCAATGTTGATAACCCACGTAGAGGAATACAGTATGAACGCTCGATTGATTTGTAGACAATGACTCTTTCTTTGTTTGACGATCGATCACGGTAGTGACTCGTTACGGTAGCGTTGATCCTAAAAACAAATACAAGTCAGTACCGTAATGATGGTGCACATCCAGTACAATACTGCATACTGTACACTGCACTTTCGCATCGTCATCCCCCAGCGGCCTCATAGGTCAATTACTGTACCGTACTGTCATTACCCTGGTAAACAATTGCGCTTATCTAAGTAAATACGTTCTAGACGTTTCGACCAATGACAGACTGCACAAGCAGTGACGATCACGTGATATTACCAGAAGGTATAAAAAAGCCTCGAGGAAATCAGTTAAGTTAGAATCACAATCCCTTGCCGACAGAACTCTACGTCAAACGAACTTTTGTTGAAATCCCGCTGTTTTCACTTTTTTTCCCTTCATCATGCAAATTTTCGTCAAAACTTTGACAGGAAAAACCATTACTTTGGAAGTTGAGCCAAGCGATACTATCGAAAATGTCAAATCCAAGATCCAGGATAAGGAAGGAATTCCACCAGATCAACAACGTTTGATTTTCGCTGGTAAACAGTTAGAAGATGGCCGTACTTTGAGCGACTACAACATCCAGAAAGAGTCGACTTTACATCTTGTCTTGCGTCTCCGTGGCGGCATGCAAATTTTTGTCAAGACTTTAACTGGCAAAACGATTACCTTAGAAGTGGAACCCAGTGACACCATTGAAAACGTCAAATCCAAAATTCAAGACAAAGAAGGTATTCCACCCGATCAGCAACGTTTAATTTTCGCTGGCAAACAGCTAGAAGATGGTCGCACTCTGAGCGATTACAACATCCAGAAAGAATCGACACTTCATTTGGTTTTGCGCTTACGTGGTGGTATGCAGATTTTCGTCAAAACTTTAACTGGAAAAACCATCACTTTGGAAGTGGAACCAAGTGATACCATTGAAAACGTGAAGTCAAAGATTCAAGACAAAGAAGGCATTCCTCCAGATCAACAGCGACTTATATTCGCTGGCAAACAATTGGAAGACGGCCGTACATTAAGCGATTACAATATCCAAAAAGAATCCACACTCCACTTGGTATTGCGTCTTCGTGGTGGTATGCAGATATTTGTCAAGACTTTAACGGGAAAAACCATTACCTTAGAAGTCGAACCAAGTGATACTATCGAAAATGTCAAATCCAAAATTCAAGACAAAGAAGGTATCCCACCAGATCAGCAACGTCTTATTTTCGCTGGTAAGCAATTGGAAGATGGCCGCACGCTAAGCGACTATAACATCCAAAAAGAATCCACTCTTCATTTAGTGCTTCGTCTTCGTGGTGGGATGCAGATTTTCGTCAAGACACTCACTGGTAAAACAATTACCTTGGAAGTCGAACCAAGTGATACTATCGAAAATGTCAAATCAAAAATTCAAGACAAAGAAGGTATCCCACCAGATCAGCAACGTCTGATTTTCGCTGGTAAGCAATTAGAAGATGGCCGCACACTAAGCGACTATAACATCCAAAAAGAATCCACACTTCATTTAGTGCTACGTCTTCGTGGTGGTATGCAGATTTTCGTCAAGACACTCACTGGTAAAACAATTACCTTGGAAGTCGAACCAAGTGATACTATCGAAAATGTCAAATCCAAAATTCAAGATAAGGAAGGTATTCCACCAGATCAGCAACGTCTCATCTTCGCTGGTAAGCAGTTGGAAGATGGTCGCACGCTAAGCGACTACAACATCCAAAAGGAATCTACACTTCACTTGGTACTGCGTCTTCGTGGTGGTAATTAATAAGAAAACCAATTGTTAATTTTCCTTTCTAATATACGCTGTCATCGAGAGTCTGTTCAAAATAATTACTGCTAATGCTAGTTATTATGAGAAATTCAATTTTCCTGTAATTGTAATGAAATATTGAGCTTGATAATACAACAAAATAAAATTTGTTCAACCTTCAAATGAGCCCGGTGTTCGAGTTATTTTGTGGAATTAGTAAAATGATTACGGAGTACTTATACTCATCAATAGGCGAGTAAGGGAATACTGAATCGCGGAATAAAATCTGACAATTTCAGTTTGCGGATGAAAACTTTCTAGTGCGCAGATTATATCGGATAGCATGGAACAAATTCAAATCGTATCATCCATACTGTACAGCACAGTATAAATATATATACAGCATACCCACTGCTGGACAGTCAAACATTTACGGATATATTTGTTGTAAAGGAAAAGGATATAGGTTAACGTTGTGTAATAGCTATGCAAGTCATTTTATTGTGAATGACTGCTTGAAAAGAGAGTAAATTTTTGCTTCAGTGATAGACGACGATCACATTTGTACTTTGTCAATTTGAAAATGATCGCAGCCATCAGGGACAGCAGTTTTGGCTTCGAAAATAAATATTGTTACAAAGTAGCTCGCAGCATTTGCTGGCAAAATTTCTTTGTAGGGTTTTAAAATCTTCTTTCAATACTATGTTAAAAACGAATTGGAAGCACTAGATAGAACTATAGGGCTCAATCCTGATACTATTAACATTTTTAACTAACACTGGTTTTAATGTGCTGCACGTACGTATGTCGCCAATGACCAGGAATAGCGTACAATTTTTTACTGCCTTTTTATTTTTGCCTTAATTGATAGCCTTTATTAATTTAGGGTAACATCTATGTGTGAAGTCTGACTACTTTCGATAAAATAGACTCAAACAAAGGCCGTATAAATTTTCCAAAGGAGCGCTGAAAGACTGATTTAATTTCGCTAGTCCGAAGTATAGTTTACTGTATTTGCATTTTATAGCATACGGTAACTCTGTTGCAAAATTGTTCTGATTCTGACGTTATCGTAGGATGATGATACTTTCAAAATATCTAGCTTAAGCTTTAAAGATACTGAATTGAAAGTACGTAGAGTACAGTTTCCACTAAACGTAATTTTATTTTATTCCTAATATGAATGATAGCTAATACGTACTAACATTATTATTAATAGCCAAACGTTTGTCAACTTTTATCCTTTAATCACGAATTATTCTCGTTCCTGGTTCGTCATAAAGTAATCATTACAACGTTGGTGTTACCATTTGATAGACTACTTCTCGAAATTGCACGGAGTCAAAATATTATTTTTTATTTTTTTTGGTCGCGGTTGTATTGTAAAAGTTTCGTTTGGTATCATTTCAAGGACTACAGTAAATAGATAGATTGTCATACTTGCTCTAGTTTACAGCACAGGGGAAATGCGGTTATGGTAAAATTAGTCATTATCGTTGTTCAGCGCTCGTATAAAATTGTAACTTATGGCGAAAAATTGACAATAAGGTACGCTTTAGTCACTGAAAAATATGGACGGTTATCTTGTACGCGCATTTAACTTGACGAAAGTACCTTACTAAATTACATTATAATTGATTATTGATTATTGATTATGTAAAATTAAAGATCTGAAAGAACCTTGATCTCGAATTGATTTACTGTACTGTATAGTTTTCGTATCCCTTCGTGAGTTAGTTATGTCTTATTAAGAAATAATTGAGCACGGAATGTCATTGCAATAGGTTCAGATTTCTAAATACATCGTAACAGCAAACAAACTTCGCCATTACTGCGTGATAATGACGACTTGCAAATCTTGTTTTTATTTTAGCTTTCATTCATTCATTGTAACGCTCTGCGTCTGTCATCAATGGAGGTGAATGGAGTCACGTCTGGCATCCCTTGTCATGATACAATAGACACAGACATACTGTAGCCGTACAGTACTTCAGGGACTTTTCTCATACAATGCACATTTACGTAAAATAGATGTCGCTAGTTTCGAGTATATCTCGACTGTAGCATGAGTTTTCAAACGACATCTATTCTACACATTTGTACCATACAGTACAGTATAAAAAATTGAAAAGTCCCCTGATAGTACAGTACTAAGTACTCTGTTTGCTATTGAACATGAAAGTCCATACTGTACCATACACGTACAGTCTAGTACTGTACAGTGCCATAGAGATATTTTTTCTTTATACAGTATACAGTACAGTACAGTATAACTTTATGGTCCATACAGACAATATCGCTTCGAAATGTGTTCCGCCAAAAGAGCTGGCCACCTGGAAATTTATAATATGGTTTAATTTGGGATATATTGTGGTCCTTTTACGTGCGATTTTGCTTGCAAATTAATTGTCAAGGATAATGACATCCAGTTTTAAGAAAAAATCTTCTAAAGGCATCGGTAGCTATCCAAGAGGCACTACTCCATCGTTACGGAATGGCCAGCTAATCACATCGACCGGTGTGCCAGCTATTGACAGTCTTATAGGTATACTCTATTAATGATCTAATGACTTGATTATACTTGAAAGGGTTGAACTCTGTTAAAGCAGTCTGCATCCTTGCTACTGCATTAACAAATAAACTGCATGGTGAAGGAGTCATGGTTAAACGATGTAAGATAAAGCACGATACAGTACAGTATTGCCCTGGCACTTCTACCCCTAGTACTGCAAACTTCTGTGTAACTCTCTACTGCAGAGATCGAGACGTTGAGACAATGACTAACTATATATAGACCACTCAAACTTGCAATTGTGATGAGTATTATTTCATCGTTAAAATAACTTGATGTGATGATCATATTTAATAATAAATTACTGCATGTAATGGCTACATTCAGTAGGAAATTCATGCTGTAAGTTATTGAGAATGAGTAATCAGTATCGAATACAAATGCAATGCTATAATTAATTAATTAATTAATTATTACATATTTATTATTTATCTAGGTGGAGGTTTACCTATTGGCACAACCTTAGTTGTTGGTAAGTTTACTTTAAATCATCAATTCCTATACTCTACAATCTTTCTGCATGTAATTTCGTAAGTTATAATCACAGATATATCGTCAATGAGTGAAATGATAGAATAATATAATGAAGAATAGAAATACGTAATCATAACCAAACAGCCTGATACTGCAGCTCTATACGAGTATGTTGCACGTATTTCTTAAGTATTAATTTCAAAATACAGTATACAGTATAGTAAAAGATATTCAAAGATGATAGAATAGTATGTATAACAATAGAAAAAGTAATTACAATTATCAAATTTTCAAATTTTATTATAGTAGTATGTTTAATGATTTAGTATCGTGAATATTCAGTAACTATATTTGTTATTCTTAGTTTATACATGATACAATTTTAGGGTGACCTATATAATCTGTTGGCTCAATACTCGGGATGGTTTGCAACTGTAATCATTGTTACATTTTCTATTTATGCCGTACATTAATATAGAGGAGGATATTTCCAGTTCGTATACCAATGCGTTAGTGAAATATTTTCTAGCAGAAGGAGCTGTATGCAATCATGCGTTATGCCTTGCTTCAAGTAGTAATCAACCAGAAAGTATGTTAGAGGTACGCGAAAACTTAGATGATCACTTGGTAACCATCAATAGCTGTTAACTTTTACATGTTGTAAAGCATGTTTATTGTAATAGACGCGCTATATTTTCTTTGCGACTAAAACTATAATAAAGAAAGCGTTTAAAAGGGAAAGTATACTGCTATAGCTTATCTATTTCGGTAAGAAATAAACTAAAGCATATCGAAAATTTATTAATTTTAAGAGGAATTCTTTATACTCTGTCTCTTTGGGTTAGGGTCTACCTGATATCGATGATTCTAGCAGCTTCATCAATACAGTGGATGAGCCCGGGTTGGATAAAAAACACAATATGAATATTGCTTGGCGATATCAAAATTTACCTACGGTGCAAGTGAGTGTGTAAACATGATAAGTTGTAATTCATCTTTTCCAATCTATCCTAGCTACGAGTTAATCGTGCTATCCTCTGTATATACTATCTTTGAAATCAGAGTAGTACAGTCACATCAGGCTTAGGCCATAGTTTCGATCTTGGAAAGGTTATGCCGAAGAACTTGATATCACCACTGGAAACATACTTTTTCAAAAATAACCTTATAGCTTCTGAACAAAATAAATTAGATCATAATCTGAATTGGTAAGCTATTACAGATCTCTAAAGTGCTTATTGTATCTTGATACACTATCTCATTCCCTGCTAATATTGTTAAACTAAAACGAATGTATCTATTGTGAACTTTAAACTTGCTATATTTATTTCTTAGGAATACGATCAACCCTGTTTATAGCAGTTTATTATGCTACATATCTAGGATAATATCTGAACATGGCTTTAACAAAACTAATAGCGACGTAGGCGTTAATTAGTCTCATAAAATCGGTTCTTTCATATTCGGCGTCCTTTGATCGTCGACTGAACTAAATATTTTCATTATTTAGCAGTTAAATCATGACCAGAAAGTATTACGAATTTGTGTATCTGGCCTAGCTTCCCCTCTATGGGGTTGCGACGGAAGGGTGGTGTTACATGATAATCCAGAAATATATGATCAATCTCTTCTTAAATTTCTTATTGCATTAAAAGCATTACTTCGTGATTCGTATGCTGTATGCATGTTAACGATACCAGTATCAGTATTTGAGGTAAGTTTATGTAGTAAAAAGATTTGGAATAGTTAATTTTTCCAACTATTTTTATCATATCATAGCATAAAAGGTATTAATATACTGTCTATTTAAGACTGGTAGCTGACAGCATCGATACTGTTAAGTAGCTTGTATTAAAATTTTTACGTTCTCCGTTTATTTAAGGATGTTGCATATTTACGTAGAGTTGAAAAGATAAGCGATACAATGATAGGATTAGAATCATATGCGGATTCTGATAAGGAAATTAATCCACTTTTCCGAAACTATCATGGTAAAGTTTATGTACCGAATTTATAAAAATTAGTTTTTCTAATGTACCACCTACTTCTACCAATTTAGGTTCCTTTCATATTCGTAAATTGCCTCGGATTAGTACTTTAGTTAGTCATATCCCAGATACTAGCTGTTTAGGCTTTAAATTAAAGCGAAAAAAATTTGCTATTGAGGTAAGATCTTGGGTGATTCTCTGACAGAACTTATTCCTTCTTCACGTAGAGGTATTAGTATAAATGGTTTTACGTTCTATTAAGCTGTTGCAATTTATCTGTAGAAAATGTTCTTACCTCCTGACTTATCAGAGACTGTCAGTAGAGCGCAGGAAGATGCAGCGCAGAAAACAAAGCTATCAGCTTGCCATAATGTTGGTCATCATAAATCTATGGACTTTTAAAACACAATTACTAATACCTATTGGGTTTAGTAACTCGCTTTTATTTTTTGTCGAACGTACAAAGATTTGGGATCAAAGCAATGTAGAAATTTTATATTATGTACTTTTATAGTTAATAGTATCCGCCTGATATATATTAGTACTTATGAGGTCGAAATTATAATTAGGTACACGGCAAGTTCCAATTAATCAATGTGCATAATGGAGACGAAATATTTTTTAATTTCAATTATAAAGTAAACGTACTTGTATTTGTAGTCAAAATGTGATGCAGTGTAAGTTATCATTAGCTTAGTGTATTTTCCATAATTTAATGTGAACTGATGCAATAGGCAATTTATTTGTCGGACTGATTATAATAAATAAAATGAATTTGTATTATTAATAAAACATGAGTTTATAAGGTTTATGAGTTTCAAAATCTCAGCATGTGCAGGTACGGTTTCAAAAATTGGATTACAGTAACGCAAGGATATATTGATTATAAGCAGTAACTGATCAATTCATCAGAAAGAGGAATATTTAGTATATGTTTTGATTTTAAGTTGATTTCGTGTAGGATCAATTGGTTTATGCATTTACTAAGTAACTTCTTTATAACTCATCATGATAACGGTCAGCATGATAATCGAAGTCGAAATCCGGATCTTCATATTTACGTGATTTTTTCGTATGGCCAGCAAAAAGAGACTGATGGCTAAGAAGTTCTTCTCTTGTGAGTTTTCCATCCTACAGGTTAGACCGTAAAATATTTCAGTTATTAATAATCTTTTATTATTTCTGTTCATTAGACAGACTATTAATATATTTTTCCCCATGGTACAATTTTTCTTATTTTAGTCGTAAGTAAAGTGCAGTTTAAGATGACCTGATCAAGATCGGCAGATTCAATAAGGTGATTAGCTTCCTCTTCTTCATCGTTATTCTCCTCTGGAGCAATCCAACTCTTTATTTCTGACTGATAATAATTCAGTCAAGGTTATTTTTTGATAACGACAATAGTTAGAGAACATGAAGTTGTTTAAAATATTCTTAGAATATTTTTCGTTGAACGATACTAATCATTGCTAATAGTAGAAAAGGTAACACACATCTGGGATATATGCAAATAAAATCACACCAGGTCTAATAATTCATCTCCGTCTTTATCATGCCTGAGGAGGTAAATTTTCTCTTCATCGCGCACCCAACCAGGTTGTTCTTTGTTATCTTCTGAGTTATACATACTCGCTGAATTGAGAGTGATCAAAAGAATCGGATTAGTTGTTCCTATTTTCAATATATGTACAATGTATTGCACAATATAGCATGATTTGTGGTTATGCACACAAACAGTTTGGTTATGTAAACAAGTCTCAATATCACATTATTTAAGAAATTCAGCGACAGCAATTGACTTACAAATGTATTCCTTCCATGAAATTTTACCGTCCTTGTTTTTATCGTACGTATCCAACGATTCCTAAGTATTAACGAGAAGAACAATGTGCATAATTTAGTTAATAAAATTGAAGCTAATGCAAATGAAATTGGAACTGAAAGTAATGTAAAAAATCAATGCTAGGTTGCTTTTATGTTTACTTAATTTTATTTTTTATTGATTTACCATAGCTAAAGCATTTTGCATATGAGGGAAATTATGAGGAAAGTTAAAGGCCGCAAATTCGGTTAAGGTTAACATTCCGTCATTATCCTGATCAGCGTCAATGAATTTTCGGTGATCATTTGTATACATAGATTGCATAGAGTCACTTAGTTTCCCTATCGATAGAATAATGGGAATAAGTAATTATCATATATAGAATTACTTTTTAGAGTCATTAATTTTGTCTGTCATTCTATTTTAGCGATAACAATGTCACATCATATGATGGAGGACTAATTAATAATGATTTATATCACTGGACTGCATACACATTGTTGACTAGTGATGTTAGTATATTACTTAAGATATCACTCATGTCATTAAGCAGATACAATTTTTATTCTTCGATAAACTCCTGTAGATACTGGAAAATTTTATTCCACTTTATCAAGTTGGTATTACGTTGTCAGTAGATTTTCAATTTGTTGAAGATTTGCTTACCATTGTTTTCAGCTAAATCGTTGGCAAACATGACTTGCTTATACTCTTCCCATGGCAGCATGCTATCTTCATTGACATCTAAGACTTTAAATTTTTCTCTAGATTCCTTTTCTAAACGTTTGAGTTGGTTGCCCTTAATTCGTGCTTTCATTTCATTTTTATCGATATATTCATCCATATTCGTATCAATTTCGTCGAAAACTGTGCTGTAAAATGCAACAATACAAGATAGAATGTACGAATTACCTAATTGCAAAAATTTGCTTCCTAACAACGATGACTGATACTCTATGTTACACTAGTATTTTGAAACACAAACGTTTAGGTTGGTCCATCAGTACGGAATCGTATCATTTTACATATTATTATGCGTTTATTAATTCGTACTCCTATCCATTAATCCATGCACTCTACTGCTTTCGTAGGCTGTATTACATTAATCAAGTAAGAAAGGAAATAAGGTTGACCAGGCAATCATAACGCAAAGTGTTCATTGCATATTACTAACATCAGTCTATCACTAGCATCTTCTTCAGAATATTCGTGAAATGTATCGTCTTCTTCACCAATGAAAGCACGATGATCAAACTCAGCATTATGATGACCCCATTCATCGTAATGTTTTTCACCTAGTAGATCTTCCATGTCTAACCTACTGCCACCAGGATGGTATCGTTGGCAACGATAATGTGGTACAACGATGAAATAAATGGTGATCCATACGATCCATTTTTTGCCCGAATTCGCCATCATCTTCTTTCTCTGCCCTTCCTGATACTATCCAATTTGCTATCGAGCAAGAACTAATCTACAGCACTTGGGATATTGATTGAAATTCAAATGTTCAGTCTATTAAATAAACTTGCAACTACAGGAAGACAATATGGTGGGTGCATGCGTACAAAGGATAGAGTAAACAATAACTTGCGGGTGTACTGTACACTTGTACAGTACGTACTGTAGTGTCTCCTGTAGTTGACACTAAACTGGATGATTGGAGTACAGTACCGTACTGACTGCAGATTGTGTTCTGAACACTGGTACTGTATTGCATAGCATAGTACAGTACTGTACTGTACACTGTACAGCGTCCAGTAGTTACAGACTGACAGACTGAAACCATCGAGGTGATTACAGGTTAATAAAGAAGAAAACCGGCATTGCTGCAACCCGACTGACTTAAGTTGTGCTCATGACTTTTTCCAAGTGATGTTAATTTTGCGAGCGACTTCCTTGATTATTTCTTACATCAGTGGCTAGCGAAAAAGTGCTTTCTCTTTTATTGATATACCTATTGTATCGCTGTCTCAGCTACTTTGTACTGTACAGCTACATATGGCCGTAAAATATGAACAAAATTAGGGTATCGAACTGAAAAGCTAAATGGGGGTCTCTACAATCGTTTGCAAAATTGATGTCGCGTACAGTATAATTAATTAAAACATCTCTCTCTCGCTGTCGTCGACAGTCTATAAATAGAAAGATATACAGTATGTTGCACACTGTACACTAGAGACCCTTCAAAAGGGTCTCTACAGACACTGTACAGCAATATTATTTTCGGTAGAAGCTAATTTAACAGATGTACACTTGTACAGTACAGTACAGTTGGTATCAACTACTTACTGCATTAGCCCATCGGTTTTAGTAATATTTTTCTCACTCAGTATTGCACAGTACAGTACAGTACACTGTATCTAAAAGTCAGATCTACTGTACTGTACACTGTACAGTACAGTACAGTACAGTACAATGAAATTCAAGACGCCGTAAAGTTGCAATGTACTGTACAGTGCAGTACCGAGTACTGTAGAGGAAGGGATGTTGTTAGGATAAACAAAAACCAAACAAAGTCTGCCCTCATGCTGAACTGGCATGGTAATATTTCAAGGTGTTGGAAGGATCATGTAACACATCATTGGAATCCACAACTCCTAGCGGTCAGAGGAAGCTATAACATGAAATGATGGATATAGTTGTCTGAATACGATGCATGTTGATGGCCATATGATTTTGGGGCGCATTCAAGCGCCCGCAGTGTTCATTGGGTTCTTACCAGGGACTTGCTCACAAGCTCCTGATCTCACCTATCTCACCTACAGTACAACAGGTACAGTACTTTACACTGTGTAGTACAGGACTGTACTGTACACTGTACAGTACAGTATGGTACACTGAGTACGGTACAGTACAGTAGGAAACGTGCTAAGAAACCTGGTGGCATTGCCAATGAAGCGTACAGTATACTACGTACAGACTTTACGGTACGGTCCAGTAAGTGAACAGTGTATAGTACTGTAGAGGCAGTTGGAGTACTGTAGTCTACAGTGAATAGTACTGTAAAATACCGTACTGATCATCCCAATCTGAGCCATTCCGGTGGTGTACAGTCATCGACGATGGACAGGATTATTCTTCTATAGTACAGTATAAAATTGATACTCACCTTCCATACAGTACCCTACAACTAGACCGGAGCTAAATTCAAGCTGATAAAGCATGTGATTTCCCATGCTGTATCTCATACGCCAATTTTTTTCGGCTACTAACGTTGATCAACCACCGCCATTTTGATTGACTTCTTCTTACTAATCCATTTCCATCATGCCAGCTGCAGCTAACGAAGATTCTAGCCAAGTGGCTAATGCTCTAAGCAACCCAAAAGCGATAGAAACCAATGAAGAATCATTAGCAAGGTCCTTTATTGGTGTTATTGATAAGAAAATTCGCAATTTGTGTAAGAGAAAGGTATGGAAAGTGATCTTGACTTTCAATGACAAAATGCCATTGCGGTTATTGTACATCACAATCAATTTGAAGCAGTCTAGTGCACGTTAGTTCATGTATCGATTGGAAACTGCTCCATTTTATTGGTACAGTTGATAGTAGAGAGTATAAATAGATGGATCGTTATGGCATAAATAGAAAGTGGACGTATTTCCTACTTTCAATTTGCATCATGTTACTAGACGTTTTTCCCACGCATAACATGTGGAATTTTGGATAATCTTCGACCACTTTGTATGCAATTAAATCGATACTTGAATCACTTTCTCTACCTAGACTAAACTCGAAAATTTGAAAAAAATCGAGGAGGAAGGCAAAGAACTGAATCAAGATCAAAAGGTAACGAACTGGTCGCTATCGTTAAATTTACCCTTGATATTGCATGAATGATACAAATCAGCACAGATGATAGCTGCACTGATACCCAAGATGTAGTATCGCAACTTGATAGTAGACATACTATCACGGACATTTGCAGTCATAGCAATGGCACTGTTTTCAACAAGTAAAGATTGTCATCACTCTTGTTATGACTTCCATTTCATGATCGACGATGTTAACTGTGCGGTCAAGAGACCGCCGCTTCTCATGGCTTTCGTCAGTCTTATGCTTGATTGAATGTGCATGGCAATTCGTTGGGGCTCAATGATGGTGATACTGTAGAGTAGAACGACAGCATCGAATGCAATATTGGATTGTCTGGTGGGATTCTACCAACCTTAGCCTTTACTTTAATATACTGTATAGAACTTCCATAGGCGTATTATCGATAGACATCTTTATGTGTCGACCTTTGCAGCATACAAAAATAAGATACCTTTCACTTTGTCGACATGAAAGTACCTGGCAGCAGCACCACTTGCATGTCATTGCGCTATTTCATTACTACAGTTTTTTGGGGTATGACAATCGTATGATAAAGGTTAATTAATACTGTATAGTGTATAGTATACACATTATGTGATCTTTATGGAACTGCTCTTGCTTAATTGCAATATAGATAAGTTCAAGCAGGTAGTTCTCCTCTGATCGAATACACTTGATCCGTTCTATCTTTTGCATTTATTATTGTCTTCTTTTCAAGTGATAAGGTTGAACCTTGATTATTACTGTATTTTAATGGTATTTAGTGTTCCATGATACTATACTGTGTACATGTATATAATAAGTTTAACCACGGTAACGGTAATACTACGAAAGCGCAAGATCTAATGAAATAGTGACTCAGTAGTATCCTACCATGCTCTCTATATAGATATCGTAACATAAATTCATGTTCGTAGAAATGAAGCGCTATCAACCCAATCGGTCAATGTTGCCTTGTATGTGATTAGAGTGCTACACTAGATCTAGCGGATAAGGCTTCCGTTATTATTGTGCACATACATTTATCACGAAATAGATAACTATTTTTTAAATGTTTAAGCAAATATTTTCTACGTGTTATTAATTAGTGTATTTACAATCTATATTTTGATAGGAAGCAATCAGTCAGGCTAAAAGTGTTGAAACAGATTTGGAAACTTATCGCGAAATCAATCAGCAATATTATAAGTTGATGGAAGAGGTAATTTTGTTAAAATATGAAACTACTTTGGATGCAAACTGATTTAGTTCTTATGATAACCTAGAATTGCAGTAATTGAGCGATGAAATCCGATTGAATGCAAAGTAGACCCAGTACTAGTGTCAGTTTAGTTTAAAAACAGAAGATTGCATAATTTTTGGAGCGATATCCAATATTATGTGTAAACTTTTAACGTTAAAGCCCATTTACTTTAATAATACAATATGTATTAATTTAATTATGAATCATTCCCTTTCGTAATTTACTCTTTTAGCTGCAATTTAAGTGTTTAAAGCGGTAAAATGCAGCGTGTTGTCATACAGTGTAAACCAGCTTTTCCTATATAAAAAGAGATTGGTTTAGGATACTGTATAGCATGTAGAATAGATTGGTGTCATCAATCTTACTACTATCAAACTTGTATTAGCTTATGTTATAATTTAAGGCTCCATCTCAAGAGCAATAAATTATACGTGAGGTACTATACGAGAAATTGTTATTTAAAGCTAAAATTTATCTTCATTTCTTAAAATTTTTTTGGGTGCATGGTGCAGTGGCAGAAAAATCAAAAAAAGCAAATGAGGAAAGAGCAAGCAACACGAATTGAAGCAGATCGAGTCAGAATTTGCGATATCTTGAAATTGCAAAGACTCCTAGCTGCTGTCAATCCTGAGACTCGACAGTACTTCTTGGAAGGTAGCAACGGTGCTACGGTAAGATTTAGATAGTATAACAAGCGAAGAGATTTCATTTTCTCTAGTAAAATTGCATCCGTTCACTTGACGCAATTTGGATACGCCAATTGAGCTAGCTGATTGTTATTTATTAAAGCCAATGCTTAACAGTAATCTCGATGTTATGTTGTTATCCAAAAATGGGGCGTTTTAGAAATTAAATGAGGATGAAATTCGTCAAATCGAGGCTTTTCAGGAACTAGTTCTTGATCCAACAAGGTACTTAGCATTAATGGAATAATTACAGTCTATCTTAACCAATGCTAATTATGGATTTATTAAGCATATGGCCTTGTTTTATTTCTGGATTAATTCTCCACATTTAATATCTATTATAGTGTGAAGACATCAGGTGATCATTTTTATAATCTCATAGAAAAGAAAGAAAAGCCTGTAGTTGGAACGACATGTACGTTCACAAAGACGATTAACTGATAAAGTGTTTTCATTGATTTTAAACTTTGTCTATTAGTAACTACGGTATTTTAAGATCGATTCAGCTCTTAACTCTATTAATGTACTTGCTTGCAGATGATAAATTGATGGCAGTTATGCAAGGAATTGAATTGTGCTCATTGTATACTGGTGAACTTAAAGATAAAGTTACTGAACCAGTAAAGGAAGAGCCACAGCAGGAAACCGTTGAAAGGCCATCAAATGGAGATGCGGAAGTAACTAGTGGCGAACTGTTACCGGCGGTAATTGATGATTTTTACTATACGTCTTGATATTTTAACTTAAAAAGGATGGCACTCCATTAATAGTAATTGTTATATATTTTCTAGGAAGTAAAGAATAATGATAAAAACGTCGAAGTGGCAGTTTCTGCCGAGAAGGATTCAGGTAAATGTTTGCTCATCAACGTTTTACCAACTACTTAGTATGTTTGCGATTAAAGTATTTGTCAAACAACTCGAGCTAACACACCTGTTGCGTGAAGTAGTTCCTTATTACCGATGCGTATTTAAAAAACTAAGATAGATCATGTCATGATATAGTGTCCGAAGAAAAGTTAAATATGCCTAATGCGCCTACGGGAGATTTTGCTGAACAAGGCGAAGCTACAGAGAAAGATGACGGTTTTGAATGTATGCTTTAGTATTTTATCATAGATTTTACAATAATTGTGATACTGGAATTTATTATTACTGATGGATTGTTTCATTCGACACCACATTGTTTGAGTAATGTATAATTAATATTGTTGCAATTAAATTGCACTATAATGTAGATAGACGTGTATATAAAATCTATTTCAATTGTTCTTTAGCTCAAAAAGGCAACAGGCGCCCGCGAAATTTTCGAGGTGGGAATCGAGGCCGTGGCAATCAAGGCCGCAACAGGATTAGAAATCGTAATGGCGATCGTGGTGGAAAAGAAGGTGCCGGTGGAAGATTCCCTGTAAGATTGAAGTATTATCTTTATTACATAAATATATTAATGTTTTTCTAACTAATACCAATAACTACAACGAAGGGAAATCAGGATGGCCAATACCGTGGTGGACGTGGCGGAAATCGTGGAGGAAATCGTGGAGGTTCGTTATATGCTTGTATCGCATGCTTTTTTTTTTTGTAAACGATTTAAGGAGCATATTTATAATAATTACCTTTAATATACGGATGTAGGCCGTCCACGTGGTTCTGGCGGTGGCAACTATCAAAGATATCGTGACGATCGATCCTCTCAACAACCACAACCCCAACAGCAACAGCAACAGTAATACAAAGACTGGCGCTAGTCAGCCACTACTGTTGACGCCACTTGGACTAGGTCTTAATATTTAGGAACTAGCTGAGAAATTAAGCTGCAGATGGCATTGGATTTTCTAATAACTATGTTTCTTTTCCTTGTTAAAACTTTGTGATATGCTTTTTGTATTAATTTTAATGCTACTTAACGGATAATTATCGGTCTTTTACAGTAGTTGTAGGCGTGATTCTGCGTTCTGTTGTATCGGTTCCCACGTTTCTTGCAATTAACGAATTGTAGTCAGTTATACGATGTTGCGAATAGTGTTAGCTCTTAAAATTGCCGTGACCATCCATTTGAATTTTTATGTAAATTTGTATCATACCAAAATGAAGAAGGTTAAGTCAATGTCTAACTGAAAGTCACCCTGTTGTAGGCATATTCAAAGTACCAAAACTGATTACAATTATGGAGGATTGTGATTCCAGAATAGTCTTATTTGAAATCCATCTTTTTATAGGTTAATCCCGTCTTATTCAATGTATCAATATGGTTCTATAATGATTTGCTTTATTGTAATAATGATAATAATGTTATAATTGTAGTTGTCTATCCATCAATTAACCTACTTTATATTGTAAACGATTATTTTGGCTACTTCTGGTGTAACTGATTTTGCGCAGCCTATAAATAGTAGTATCATATGATATATGGTATTTGGGAATGTCAATGAAGTGATCATTGCAATAGAGTATCTGGTAGCCGTAGTAATTACTGATATATTTATTTCCCGATATTGTAAGGTAGCATTTACTAAATTTGAGTTTATTACCGAGATTGATTAATAAAGCATTTGACTTGCAGTTAATAAGTGGTAAGGTCATGCTTTATTGACTTTAGATCTAAGTGTGCTATTTTCTTTCGAAACAATAATTAATATAATTTACGTTACCAACTGCCATCCAATTTAAAATGATTTCACACTATCGTGATACGCACAGAAACTACGAACATTTGTAAGAGGCTACTATCGAGCGTACAATAGGACTTAGTCGAGACTGTTTTAAGGCTTTACTTACTTGGAATAAATACGTAGTTCTTTAATATCAAAATTTATTAATATACATCCTTTAATTAAAGTAGCTAATGTGATGCAATATGAAGATATATCATGCATTTCGTCGGGTCATGAAACAAAACATACGGCTATCCAGCTAACTGATTTTTTGCAACATTTGAATACACCATTGCATTCTAGATAGTCGAACACGTTTGTTCCGATCCTAACCTCTCGTTACTTTTTAATGGGTTACTGATAAAGTAAGTACGCCATGATATAATACTACCAATATATCTATTACATTTTGTCTGTGAAGAGTAGCCTAAATAGTGTGCATCTATCATTTGATTATAATTGTATACGCATACGCGTATGTCTACGTCCATAATAAAATCGTTACATGGCAGTGTGTCGAAATATATATAAACAGTTACAAGCATGAGATACAACGGCATGAACCGGACTAAGACGAAAAAAATTCTTAATCTAATGCCACATACGTTATACGAGGCGAAATTGATTCTTACATTACATAAATTAGATAAAAATACAAATTGATCAATTTAAGAGCATAGACACTCGCTTAATCATGATCGATCCTGTATTGTCTAACAAATGTTACTTAACGAAGTGGTACAGGGCTAAGAGAAAAATCAACATCAATCAGCAGACGGCGACGTAGATACATCACTGATACTTATTACGGCCAATTTTAATATACTGAAAAAATAAAACGTTATCATCACAAGGATTTCAAATTCAAGAAATTAACCATCATCGTGTAGATATAAATGCGTATTAATTTACATGATGACATAGTTTCAGTTGTTGCTTATAAATCATAGGCAAAATGAAATGATTGATGGTAATTACGGCTTTATTATACTTCCCAGTAGATGTCGTTTTCTTCCGGTATCAAGTTATGCTGATACTTGTTACTCCAATCAATGCGATATATTTGAAAAAGTCCACAACAACTGCATTCAAAAAACTGGATAAAATTGCCTATAATACCACGACTAAACAAGAGAAAAATACACTCAGCTTTACAACTAGCTATTCTTTACGAATTAAATCATTTCAACACTACAGAACATGTATTTTATATTTTTCAGTTACGAATAAGCTACCTTCAACCACTAACCTAAAAGGACTGGCGATTTTCCCATTCTTGTAAAAATGTTTATACCTATAGCTATTCATACGTTCATTTGTTGTCATACCAAGGATTATCATCTAATAGATAAATGAAACTGTGAATGTCGATGTTAAGTGATTAAGATTAATAAAATTTCACCCTCTGATCTGTTTCAATGTTCATTTATGGGCACATAGACGTACCTGATAAAACTGACAAACAAACAGCATACCAATCCAGCAGCAGTGAAACCATGAGTTTAATTCCAACCAGAACGCCCATGGCGAGCATTTGAATGCAATCACAATCCAATGATACAGCCATCCAGAATCGTTATTGCTATAGGCCGGGCAAGCTCCGTTATAGTCTTTACGTAAAATGAATCAATTCAATCTACTAACATAATACTAAAGCTATATTTATGTATAATTACGACATGATAATTCTTACATCGACGGGCGCCAAAAGCGTATAAAAAATTTAATACAACCAAGAAAAATAAAAATTGTACAAAATATTTGTGATTTTTTGCTCCTACAAATGTCAAAGTAGAACAGCGTTAAAAAATTGGGTATTACCAACTACGTTCCCAAGTACATTCGAAAATTCCAAATAATGTACATTAGAACGAACCAACACAATTTAAAATCCACGGGCAGTGATGATCCATAGCTGCTACACATTTATTACATATCGAACAATGTTTCGAACGTGCTGGCTTCCTGAGCTACGATATTGTATAGATTTAGAATGATACGATATTATTAGTAAATCGATGACCATATTCCAGAGTGCTAGGCGTTATAGCCTATATGATACAATTGATTTGTTAATTTCGAGAAGAAAATATTAATCAAACTAACCAAACATGTAGAACAGAACGTATCCACGGTAAGTTCATCATGCTCAGCCAAGTAAATGATAGCCTAAAGGTCAGATATACCCGGTAAAGTAAAAGAAATCTGACAAGATGGTTACATTGCGGTCGCTAACCTTTTTCTTTTGTTCTAAACTAGCAACTAAATACCCTGGATCGCTAAACACCACGCGGTAAAAATTGTACATGATGCCAGTGGTGGAAATTACAAATACTAAAAGTGTTGGCAAGTCAGTTACAACTGATGGCAATAGATTAAGGAAAGTAACATTGTTAGTGAACTTTGTAGTGTTACAATAATGCAATAAACATCATATTTTGTATTATGTGGTCAGATACATGGCCAAAATAAGTAAATCCAGGTAAAGTACATCCAAGATTTAGTGGCAGTATACCACGAAGCCATGATTGGACTTTCAATCAATGTTGTATTTCTTAAAAAAATTCTATTTCGATATTTGGTAAAGGAGAATTTGAGAGCAGAGGTAATTTATAAAATACTTATGTTATTACGATACTAAAGAAGCAAAATCTCAAATCTTTTATCTTACTTTAATACTTGGGCTGATACTATCCACAATAAGATCAAATATAGCATTGACCACAATAACGAACTTCCATACTGCAAACATAGACCAATACCACCGAAGGCCATAATCGGGTATATGAACATAACCTTGTTACCCAATTCCTAGTAAAGAGAAACGATAGATTGCACAGAGTAACTAAATTGATTCTATTACCATAACATATTGTATCAATTTTGTATTCAATTGAATTCTAAAAAAGCACCTTATTTAATGTCATCCAAACAATAATCCTATTCCCAGACGGTTTCTGTTTTTTCAGTTTGCCTTCAATTTTTTTAATGGCAAAATTATTCTTTTTTGCTACAGCAATATCTAAAGGAGTTTCTTTCTACAGCATGACCAAATATATCGATATTAAAGTTCTCACGTTAACAATAAGCAGAGATCATTTACACGATCATAGGAATCTTATAAGTAGGGAAATCTTTACACAAATTAATCATTTTGATCATCATCTAACCTTCGCATTGACCAGATCTAATGTACAGCCAGCATTACACAATTGACTTATTGCACTACCATTATTAGAAGTTAAAGCCCAATGTATAGCTATTTTGTAAGCATATAAGTTAGTGATTAGTAAGCAATTGTATACCCATTGATTGGAAATTGATATTGTTACGAGAGAATAAGTAGCTTTAATTTAACCGACCTGAATTAAGGTGAACATTATCTTGAAAGTTTAAAGCAGCACCGCAGGATATTAGTAAACGCACAGGGTCTATTCTACAATAGATTAATGTAATTTATCCTGCGTTATTTGTACGTAGAGTATGTAGAGGTAGAGACATGCGTACGATGATAAATTATAAATTGGTTATGATGCAAAAAATTCTAAGCCTAGTGAATAACCTGCATTACTATTTCGTAATCATGTCGATTGTCTCAAGTTATGGTACTTGTAAAAATAATCACAACAAAGAATATAACTGTATAGGTATTGAAGCTATATGGGATGCTCCGTTAATGTAAGTTAAACGTAATGTATTCGAAACTAAAACAGGCTCTCTTATTACCCATGGCATTTGTAAGATGCCCACATCAGCGGTGTCATACCATTGTCGTCCATCATGTCTATTTCCTAATCCAATATAAATCAAGCAGTACCATTATGAAGCATATAGTAACATTTTGCAAGAATCTTGATTTCAACCATTTGTATAAATTTGTTTGATATAATTTGTACCTGATGTCAAATGCTGTATTTCAAAATACGAATTATAATCATTTAATTTAACGAATCAAGTAAGATCACCGTTCAGAATTTACCTCGCCTTTTGCTATTAAGTAAGCAGCAATGTTGGTATGATGAAACTGGCAAGCCAGATGAAGGCAAGCATATCCTATCATATTAATCGTTGAAGTGCGAGTACATCAGTAGAAGGCGATAATAAACATATAAAGTTGCAACATTTCGGAGAGTGAACGAATTCTACCTTCAGTATCTTTAATAGAAGGATCAGCTCCATGTCTCATTAACAAGACGACCATTTTTAAGTGTCCTTGTCTTGTCGCCCAATTTATAGGTGTCCCTTTCAGGAGGCCACCTTGTGCATTGATATCTGCACCTCTAAGAACGAAAAATCTAAGAGAAAAGAATAATTTTATTTACTGTAGAACGATTACGCCACATAGGGACTCAGTTGCTGATCATTTATCCAAATTGAACTGCACTTACTCAGCAATCTCTAATCGATTATTGATCGCAGCCCAATGCAATGCCGTTATGCCCTCTGCATCAGTTTGGCAAACATCAGCTTGCGCTTCATCTACTAGCTGTACACATCTCTCGAATGCGCCATGTTGAGCAGCTTGTGCTAGATCGAATTCGGAATAATCTAATGTTTTATTTTGCCTTTGCTTACCAGGAACAGGATCACCTTCAAATTGGTTATTGACACTTTCGACTGCAGCAGGTTTGGCATTGTTCTAATATGTCATCCAAAAAAATGATCATCAATGGTAAATTTCTGTGAAACATGCCGTAATATCGCAACTGAATTTTAATTTTATTGCTTCAACAATCAGATAGTGAGTTGCTATCTGTAATCGGTTCTTGACAATACAGTTTTACTCTATACCGTTTGCTGACATTATGATTGCAGGTCTATCCTAAGCTGCAGTCAATGTATGCAGTATTCTCTTTTAATTTTGATCCTAGGGGTAAAGAGGACTGGGCCTGATCTAAGCCAAGAGTGAGTGAGGTGCTACTGTGACATTGATTTATTGTCAAAAGAGTTGTACAGACTGCGTCCTTCCTCGATCATTCCTAATCTAAAGGTTGGCAGACCGTAGAGCTGTCCAATCAAGCGTGGTCTGATTAACAGCTTTTAAGAGTAATGATTGATTAGCTTATATGACACTAGAACGCTTTCATTGCTACCGATGAGCTTACAATGGAGCCTACTGTAGTCTAGCCTATAACTACCAGCAATAGAATTTGTCTTCGTTTTGAACAATACTGACTTCCATGATCCACCAGCATATTACGTTACATTCAATTCAATTAGCAACAGCTAGAAGTCAATACTTTGCAATGGGGAAAAAATAAAAGATGTAGGTCATTCAATTCAATTAGCAACAGCTAGAAGTCATTACTTTGCAAAGGGGAAAAAATGAAAGATGTAGGTCGTGAAAGCTCGTCCAACTTAACCTAGTCTAGAAATTGATTCTCAATCATGAATAGTACCCTACATCTCTATCTACATATAAGTGAAGAATCGGATGAATGATGAAGATTACTATTGAGTGTGGGTTATTGTCAAGAGTGGCCAAGTGAAGCGAGCTTGACCAATTGGTTACTAAGATACAACAACTTGGCTGGGTAAGCATTGTTCGTTAGTGGAACGACGTGGAGATGAATTGGAATAGAGGCGAAAAAGGATCAGGTTACCTATTGATTACACTGTTATTTTAGGCATACATTATTTGGATTTTGAAAAGTTGCATTGGCTTGGGTCAGAGAAGTGCTTTCTTTCATTTCTTCCATGCTGTTTCCAACAGCTTTACGCTCGACGTGCCTGCTCTCTTTTCAAGATGTGGCGAGTTCGCCGAGTTGTGTTGAGGGCGTGCATGGCACTTGGTTGACTGGTCAGTCATACAGTACTATGTACAGTGGCGTACAGTACAGTACTGTACAGTGCGGACTGTAGTACTGTAGTTTTCTTGGTCTGGTCTGGTCCTACTGAACAGTGTACTGTACTGTACAGAAGGATGAGTATAGAAACAGTATACTGTACTGTACTATAATATTAATTTTACTTAATATACAATACTGTACAGTACTGTTACAGTAATATAACTAATACAGTACTGTATAATTATACAGTATGTAATATTATACTGTACTGTACACTGTAGACGGAGATCTGTACTGTAGTCTTCTCGTCCAGGGTCCGTCAACCCGAAACCCGACAGCAAGCGGTCGATTGGGGCCAAGAATTTCCATAGTATGACGGTGTTTGTATGGCAATTCTACTCATTTGGGGTTGGAAAATGATCCATTGGATCGGATTCTATCGGGTTGCCATTGCCTTTTCACACCATTGACAGTCAGGACTGCCTAAATTGTACACTGCACAGTATGCAATGTAGTGGTATAGCATGAAAACAATATCAAGAGACAGTAGGTTTTCATATTACGAGGGTCAATTGAAGACTTTGCAGTGTTGAATCCTATACATCGTCCAATGAATCGAATGCAGTCGAGTGTCTGTTTTGATAGGACGAGGTGAGATGGAGTATTTTGCAGCGTTCAATCGCATACAGCGTCAAATAAATTTCATGCGTTAAATGATCTAGTAACGCAGATACATCGACGATATCGTGGATACATTGATGGACATACAGTGTAGTACATAGTAAACTATCACAGCAACTACCGTCAAGAATGAAATGACTCAATGATGCGAATGGAGTCCATTCCACAGTCAATGATGAGGATAATGAGTTACTTACGATACCGCTGAGCAGGGTAAAAGTGAGCACTCCATGTTTTGGGGGGACCTCTGGGGTTACAGTACACTGTACTGTAATCCAGTTCTTACAGTACTGTGTACTGTAGTTGCCATGACGAGTGTACTGTACTGTACTGGACAGGACGTACAGTACTCATGATAGAGTACAGTATGAGTGCACACCATCAAGTGCTATAGTAACATTGAAGAGAATGCGAGAGGTAATCGAGAAGCTAGTAGGCATGCAATGCCGGCAGTAACCACATCCGAAGTTGAAGAAGAATATCAAGTTGCTATCATCAAGATTGACTAACTATCCATCGGCCAAGGATAAAATCTCCTATTGCAATCATTACAAGGGGAAAATAAAATCGTAAACGCAGTGAATCGCTCGACTTTGCGAGATTGGAATCGGTGAAGACATTCAATACTAGCTTGGGTCCGTGACTGTATTGCTAAGGTGAACTGTGACCATCGTCGAAAAGGCAAAAGGCGTAGCATGGCCAGTAACAACCGCCAACATCATGATCGACATCAGCGCAAAAATAAGATTAAAGATCAATTGATCTATCCAAAAGTCGACAAAGAATTCCACTTCTACTATCAAAATAGTGGGCGTAAGAAACTTTTAAAAGTCAAGATTGTCGTCCCCTTAACATGCCATACTAATGAATTAGCACATCGATTAATAACCGCGCACAATTTACCATGTTATCTGCTTGGCAAGTTACAAGCTTCGTTGAAAGAATTTGTATCGTCGACATTATGCCAACTTCAAGTGGATAAAGCCGAGCAATCGATTCATCATTTGAAACAATTCGGTCCAGATGTGATTAAGGATATTTCTGATCATTGGTGTAAATGTTTACAAGATGAAGTAGCTCATTGGAGTGATCACAGCAATAAAAGGAATGCCGTTCAATCCATTCAATTGGATAATGGTCAATCGGTGGCACAAGTTTATCATGCTTTAATTCATTCACCGGCAATGGAAGCAATCTTACAATTAGAGTATACCTACGCATCGGTAGTCAAAGAAATTGTCAAACAACGTAATACAGAACTGGAACAATTTGAAATTCAACATCAACAACAATTGGAAATTGCCATTCAATCAGGCATAGCATCCGATCGTAAAGTCAGCCGATTAGCTGCTCAACATATGGAAGAGTTACAATTCAAAAATGCTAAATGGAATAGTACTCTATCGGATTTGATGGAAAATCAAAAGCGTGAATTTTATGCTTGGATGGTACGTGTCTATAACAGTATGGTCGAAAATAATGGTGTACCTACTGAAAGAACACTTTCTATGCCACATAGTATTGTTGCAACGCTATCCAGAGCTGCACCTGATAGCCATTTAAATCATGAATCCAATAATCATGTCGACAACAGAATGGAAGAAAGTTTTACAATTTATTTAGGAACACAAAAGAAAACCATGCATAATATACGCTTAATGATTGGTCACCCACTTGATTTATGCAGGAGTGCTTATACCGGCTCAATCGGTAGTGGTATAGGACCACCACCTCAAAGGATTCAAACAGCACTATCGTTATATTCGTCAACATTAAATGGTTTAATATTACTTGTAGATGATAAACCCAATTGTTATACTGGTATCAAGAATGAATTTGCCATGATATGCGAAGAATCCAGTGAATTTCACTTTCTATCCCATCCAGAGCAATTACATCATATCCGCCGTAGTATTCAAAAATCCCAATCAACACGAGCTAAAAGACAAGACAGCGAAGATAATGATATCGATTCACTAGAAATGTTACCCGAAGATCAACACAGTTATGATCCATCAGTATCTGATGCAATTTCTAATATGGACTCTGCTGTTAAAGCTGGCTACCTTGAAAATCAACGCAATCGATCCGCGACACTCTCTTCTCTTCGACGTGATAGCTTTTGGGATGAGGATGATGATTCTGTAGTCTTGGCATTAGGTGATTTCTATTCTACTCACCATTCTAATTTATCCGATATACATGTAGTCTATCATTTAGTGGTCAATGATGATGTCAAATCCGATCGGTTACCTAATCGCCATCCTATCTTGACTGGCTTACGTAATGCATTAAATACAGCTGCATCCAATGATGTCACAACTATCACTATACCTTTACTTCTTGTCAATGAAATGACGGAAGAGATGACAATTTCATGGTGTGTTAAAAGGGCTGAATTAATTTTTAAATGTGTCAAAGGTTTCATGATGGAAAATGAAATGTGGAGCAATAATCAAGCATGTATAGTCCAATTTCTAATTCCGAAAGGTATATCCGAAGAAATGTTTAATACCTTTACTGGCATGCTACCGGGTATATTCCGTATGGCAGCCGCATTGAATTTGAGTACTACTGCAGTACACGAATGAGATAATTCTTTTATAATTAATATGATCTTCAAAGTTAACAAGAAATTGTAATTGCTGCATGTAAAATTTCACATAGAAAACTTCACATTTTTATCTTTTATATTTACTATACACGTATCGATACACATCATTTGATTATTATTTTCAGATCGTTAATAATCTTAGAATAGGAGTAATTTTCAATATACCAATCCTACTATATCAGGGGTTTTCTCATTTTTTTGTGCAATGGTAATTAGACAGTTGTATATATATATATATATATATATATACTCGTAGATAGTACGGCACCGTAATTGAGCTAACAGTAGATATTGCGGTAGCGAGCCTATCATAAAACCGATCAATTGTTGTGTTAACGTCCGATCCTACATTTCTTTCATGATTGTAGATAGACGCGTATCCATTGCTACTATAATCTTCGATACACATTCATCTTCTAATCATTTTGATATCCATTGTATCATAATAGATTAATATGCCTACAGCTTTAAAATATACTTATTTTATCTTACCAGCGATACAGAAATATACCAATATGTAGAACTATAACTTCAATTTTAACCGATTTATGACTGACCTGACGAAAGTGAAGGCCTTTCAATAGTACTAAAATTGTATAGTTAATGATATAGCTAGTTAGATTAAATTGTATTAACTGTTATATCAAACTATGAGTATCTAAAATGGGTCTCGACTTCAAATTGTTCTTTCAATTTTTACATTAAAATTGCAAATTTCTATAAGAATATCATTTTACAATTGTTCTGATAGGTTACGAAAATTGTTTGTTTATCTTTTTAACGTTTTGTTCGGTATTAGATCAATTAAGTATATCCTCATTTAGATATAGTTACATCTATTGCAAAATAAGCCCAATAATTATAATTATAATAAAAAAGTTTTTTTGGACTGTCCGTAATAATCATAGGCGATCTGACAGCATGTATTTAATAGGCAGTTAGGATTATACAAGTACAGATGAAAATAATATAATGATAAGATAGAGAAGACCTTCTCTATCTATGATAATTAAACGTCAACGATAGTCGTACAAATTGTATTAAAGATATACTATCATCTTCCACTTTAATACGGCAACAGCACTCCTACCGGGTTATAAAGCGTCATGCTTTAGACAGCTGTGTGTATGCAGGATTTCCGCCTTTAAAATGTTATTGAAATTGGCAACTTTTAACAACAGATATCACCAATTGATACTTCAGTTAGTGAGAGAGTAATTTTTACCAGATTATTGGTATTTTTGTTTCTTTAGTAACCGGCTTCATTAGTAGTTCAAGAGAATTAACTTAATCTAATCAATTTATAACTACAATCTTTGTTGTAAGTATATTATTACGTACTGGTAATACGCAAAAAGTATTCGTAAATTCAAATAATACATGGAATATAGAATAAACGCTAACCAGCGGTAACAATTTTGTCATGGTCCGAGAAAACAATCCGAAAGCAACCCCTTTTAGTACAGCTAAAAGCATAACCTGGCATAACGTAGACGCCATCGCGCAGTAATTTCGATCAAAGATTTACTTCGGCCAGTAATATATTTTCCTTTAAATACTATAATTTGTGAGAATGGGCAAGTGTAGAAAAATATTTATTTATACAAAATCAAACTGAAGTTTCGAGTTTAGTGTTAATCAGTATGCAACTGTATTTAGATGAGAAAGATACTTTACTTTTTGAAGGTTCACCCAAAGAAATAAGCCTGCTGTGAGTTAATAAAGGGATTTGTAATCGCTTTAGAGTCTAAGTTACAACCTATTGAGACTTGTATAGTCTAAGTCTCATTGTCGGTAAATAAATTTTACCTAGCCATTCTATTTGTATAATCATAACGTAAAAGGAGCATTAGTTCAAGATAGTATACAATAGCATTATTAATTTTTTGGAAGCTAACATTTTAGTAACTAATCCTCTCAAGTATATTGACTAACGTATATTAGCCTCTACAAAGTAGAAATATGATCTGCTAGCTTTGATATTATAGAGTTCATGTAACATTTTCATCATGTAGGTAGTTAGGTACGATATGTAAAAGCTAAATTATTAGTTATAAAAGTAATTGTAGTGTATTTAGAATATACTGTAACTATATTCTACTCTTAAATATAGACATGTTGTATTGCTCTTATATTTAGACAGATCTACAGTCCGCTTACTCTACATTCATATATAGACTACTGTATTTAGTTATTACGGTACTCGCTGTTTTCTACAATCATCTGCTATTTTGTAACCTGTTATGGTATATGTTGTATCTAATTCCACAATCCTATTCTCTGCATGTGCTCTATCTTTAAAACTATAAATACCGGCGATTTCTACCTCAGAGTTTATTAGCCTCTCTGTTAGTCTTCTAGTTAGTCTCTCACAGTCTAATACTTCTACTCGTTACTCACGACAGCTTGCACGCTGATCTACCGTAACTACCTCACTGTACTTCACATTACTAACCGACAATAAAGCATAACTTTTATAAACCCTTTGTTGTAATAATTGTAAATGGCGACTAAATCTCAATCCTCTGAGATATCGAACCCTCCATCACAGTAATGTAGTTTTTAAAGGATGAGTATTTTAATTCTATCTTCAGATAATGTATTGCACCAAATTTTGATATGAATAGTGTTAAACAAGCTAAAGATAAATCGACATCAATTAATTCCTCAAGCTAATTTATGTTAGATTTAACTTCATAGCGTTATAGCATAGAATCTACGGTGTAGCATAGCATAAAGTCTAACATAATTAAACTTTTATATTGCTAAATTTTCGATTTGTATGATTAAAATCGCAAATAATGATATTAGTTGCTATAAATTATGTCATAGGAAAATATCCAAAGCTTAGTATGAATCAGTTATATTGATTTAAATTAATTATTAAAAAATAAGCATATAGTATAGTTAAACAAACCATGATCTCCTAAAATATTAGATATGATGTCCTTCAAAAATTTTATTCATACAATTGATTACTATAGATGATAAACTAGTCGTCACGTTACAAAAAATTTATAAAGCTTATTCAAATGCTGCTGGCCGAATTAGTGCTTTGACTCTAACAGGCATGTTAACCTTTAACTAGAACATTATCAGTCTATTAATGCGAAAATTATACAAACACTTACGTATTTTTACGTATACACTATAATATACTTTATTTAGGGATTAGTGAAATGATATGATGATACTTGATTCTACCTGAACGGGTCGTGGAATGCTATGATAATACGATAAATTAGCTAAGGTATTGTAGACTCTCCTATCTTGTGTCCAAGCTATGCTAACTCGCAATGCCGACAATGCAAAGTCCTATTTTAGTATATTTTACATAAATTCATCAAATTTATATATGTAACTCGCCTTTTATCAATAAATGGAAACCACAACACCTGGATATTCTAGTCATATTTTCAATGTGTAAAGACATTGTCAATATTTTTAATAGCAAATCTTTGCTGTTAGCTATCTCTTAGTAATAAGTCGACACTACCTTGCTTAAACCCCAAACCATGTGAACACGTTTCGGGTCAAGAATACCATAGCAATTAGCTGAAAATAAATTTAGTATTAGAGTTAGAAACGACTTCATTAGGCACATCGATGATTTCATCAAAGGCTAGTCTATGAAATTCCCCGGTCATAAAATTCTCCAATCTTATATCATTATTTCCGATAATTTATAATAATTACCTTTTAGTCAGGCTAAGTATACTAATAGGTTTCTTTCTGAGTTGAAGTTATAAGAGGAAATAAATCTCATCAAATATTATTGTAATCCAAAGCTAGATTAGATCAATCAGGGTTATTTAATTTGATGTTTAATAGATTTTTTTAAAGCATCATAAAAATTAACGTTTTTCGGTCATTTATAGGGATTGACCGAGTTAATGGCTAGTTGCTCGACCAGTCATAGGGAATGGCCGAAGTTGTTCGGCTAGTCCCTTGAAATGGCCGATTCCCGGGGGTTGACCATAACACTATGAGTGGCTAGAAGGTTGTTTAGCTTTATGAGTTTTATTCTAAGATTACCCAAAAAGTATGGACCTGATCGTATAATAAAGAAATAGCAATTCCTCGATATAGTATCTGCTCGGCCTTATATACGATCGACACACGTAGGTGGTGCAATACAGAGAAACATGTTTTATATCATTTACTTACATTAGTATGAGAAACAAGACATAAATTGTAATATGACTCAGTATAGAGTCCAGTTGTAAACAACATTAATTATTAATAACATCTCAAGCTGAAGTAAATAAACAATACTGATGCTCAGTTAAGACTAGTAGTGAACATCATTATCGTAAGCACAATTAATTCAGATTTCCATTAACATCTAATGTAATAAACAATTTTGGGAAGAATAGCAAACTAATCTAAAAAAATACGATGACAGCATCGCAACAACATGATATTAAACACCAATACCGTAATAGTACTTATAGTAAGTATCATGTCGCTTTATCTGTTATCAAATTTCTAGTTAGCAAAACCACTACCATGACTGAAATAAGATAAAGTAAGATTCTTTGTCTATCTATATGCTGTTATTTTTGTATATCCATAACTACTGAAATTAAAATATTCATATTCTAATATGATCTACTAACACATACATCGTCAACTGTTTCTTTCGGATCGTAACAAATTTTGTTTAGATTGCTATATTATGACAAAACTGCGGATGCAAAAATTTTAGAATTTTATTTACTAATTACAACCATTTTATCGGAAAAATTTTTCAATAAAATTCTCGCTAAAATGATGAAAAAGTACTCGCGTAATCCTTACGTAGAAACTAGGAGAGTATAGAATGCTACCGAACGAGAAAAATCTGTCGTTCGTAATAGTAGATATTGTCATATTATTGATAAATTTTGCACCCTTTCAAATGCAATCCTGTTTGCATTAATATAAATAATCCAGTATCATTCATGAATTAAGGGTAAGAATTCT